TCTATGGGCTCATTCCTCGATGTTGCTATTCACACTTTTGTCATCTTTCGCTCGGAGTCACACTTCACATGACAAGGATTAGTTGCTGCGGCGACAGCTAAACATCCACTGTACGCGAATAGCTCTATCCTCCTGACATAGCGTGGGGGGGGGGGGGGGGGGAAGGGGTAATGGAGGGCGGAAGAGTCAATGTGCATTCTTTTTCTCTGCGATTCGATTGATATGCAAATTTCTGAAGGGTTTGTAATGCTGTATATCACATTTCACTCTTTAAAAATGCATAATTTGACAATTGTGTGGAATTGAACATGCGCAAAACAATACCATATCCTTATGCCAGTCACTCTTTTTTGCATTTGTAATATACAACGAAGAAAATTCTCCTCCGCAGAATATTCACACCCTCACGTGCAGTCAGCCACCACCTTCATTTTTTAAGGTGGTGGCAAGGTAAGTAGTACAGTGCCTAAATCGTCCCTTTTCTGATCCCTTTGTCTGTCTGTCGCTAAATCAATTTTGAGTTATTGTGGGTGATTTTGCTGAGCTTCCTACAAGAAAAAAATCCAGTTTCACGATGCCGGGAGCATCAAACTCTAGGTTTGAAGAGAAATATAATTAGAAAACGGATGCTTTCGAGTTTTTATTCTACGCTTAATTAAGCCATTTTGAGTAGAGGGGAAAATCCTTATGCTTAACTTGCTTTTCCTCGCTAGGACCTCGCTAGTATTGAAATGAAGATCTGCAGGTCTAGACTTTCGAACAAAGCTGCAATATCTGATAAACACGGTTATCTAATAGCTGCTTCTAAAAAAAGCCTCCTCTGCAATTATCTTTGAGTTATATCAAAACAAAATTACGTCAGATACAGAAAATGAAAAGGTAAAAATAGAAGAGGTTTTCATGACAAATCTTGCGTGGTTCACTTAGTAGTTGGTGGGAGTAGAAAAAAGAGAAATCTGACATTAAGTTAAAGAATATAAGCTAGCAAAACAAACTTGCAAAGCTGCTTTTCTTAAAATGTTGTGATATTTCAAGGAACGATCAAGGGCAAAGAAGTTAATGTCAGTCACGTTTAGAAATAAAAAGCCAAATCTTGGAGCGTTGTTCGAGATTCTTCTGCAGATTATCACCTCCATCACGGGATTGCTCAGAGCCAGCCACTATTAGATTCTCTTTCTAGATTGCTTTCACTGGCCGGCAAATTCTGGAAGATAGGCCACGGTAAGCTTAACAGCCCTTGAGATTGCTGTATCAATCTTGAGCTCATTCGCCCTTCAACATCGTTCCTCATCACTCACCGCAAATGGTGGACAAAACAGCGACCATTCGTTTTCATTCATTGACACGATTGAACGAAGCAGACACATTGCAAATAGCTCCTAACAATGCTGATTGCCTTTGACTCTGAGTCACTTAAGAGCGGCTTTTTTGTAGATTTTATAGCCAATGCAGGCGGAACAAAATGTTGGCTGCAAGTAGGAGTTGTTCCTTCGTTTGTAATTTTGCGCAGCATAAACAGTTCAGACCCTGATCTTCAGCTGGTCCTTACTTCTCCTTATTCTCGTGTCTGATGAGCATGGTCATTAGCGTTGTTGAAGGAGTTCTCGAAGCCAGCTCGGCTTTGTGTATGCCTTGTTTACTATTGAGCTTCACAGGAATATTGAAGCAATCATCATCTTAGGTATTTCTGCTCACTGCTATAAAAATCGCTATCTGCGTTACTGGAAAAAATGCAGACATGTGTGAGTAAATCCTAGACCTCAAGCTCTGATTGAACAATTTTGTTTGAAACCATGAACGATCAAGAAGCGCTCAGAAAAGGATGACATCAACCTTTTGCGGTGGGCTGTCCGTTGATAACATTACTCAGCCTGAGACAAAGACTGCTTTTGTAGTCATCGAACTAAGAAACCTGAAGTCAGCATTCTCCTCCTCCTTCACCTTCACCCATAAGGCTCATTTGCCGCTGTGAGTGCCCTTATCAGACGTGTTTTCCATGGCTTCGTCGTATTCATCTGTCCAGGAGCATCATGCATTTTACTCAGACTTGATATAGTCCTTTCCTACGTATATACATGTACGTAGATGGTCTTAGACTGTGTCACGACTGAAATGCATTACTGTTATGGAAAACAACAGTTTCCTTATACTACTTCGAAAATAGCGCAATTTAAGCGACTTATCTGCGGAAAACATGACTTAGCTCAATAAGTAAACGAGTTTCAGCTCTTACTGAGACAGACTGACGATGGCAGAAGAGCTTTACTGTCTCTAGACCCATGTTGGAGAGTGGACACTTGTCAATTCTGCTCGGCCCCTTTTATCCAACTTCATCGTTGTAGATCTAACTCAGGTGCAGCGAACATAAATCTAGCACTGCTAGATGTCGTGCATGAAAATTAAACATATTCTTCTTTTTCGTCAATTTCCTCTGATTTTCCAGCTTGATATGGGACTCATATAAAACCTTCCACTCAACTTCATGAACCTTCAGTTTCAGCAAGGTCCATTGTTTGAATCAGATATTTGTCTTTGCGCAAACATTTTTCAGTGACTGTATTCAGTTCCTGTATTGACATAGCCACATGCTCTTCCATACGCTAATAAACTTCCACCCAAGCAGCATAATGCACGGTAATGAAGTTACATTCTTGGATAGCTGGATGCATTTGAGGATTGCGTGCCTGACTTTTAGAGTGGGTAGATTGATCTCTGTCACATGGGGAGTATTTTTCGGAGAATCCTTACTTCATTACATTACTCATTCTTCTCTATGCGCTGCTCACCATTTCACAGCAAAATTTTGAAAAACTTCTATGAAGTCGAATTGTAATAATTCATTTATGTGTATTGAATTTGCCGAAATGGAAATGTGTGCACTTGCACGCGTGACTACCTTAATAGGCGTAAGAACTCGGATCAGGGCTGGGTACAAGGTGGCTTTTAGGAAATGCAAAAAACAAGTCCTCCTTGAATTTCGCGAATTTTCACGGAGTCTCTTTTGACCTAAACCCTAAACGTAAAAAATCGCAAAAAACGAAACGTCGACTAAAAAAACTGTCTTTTCGGCCTCAAAAACGATACCCCCTTAGCTTTTTGTCCCAAAAACGATATCCAGCTTGCTTACAAGCCACCTGTGCCGAGCTCTGTTTCAGATGTTATCTACTACCAAGGAAAACGATTCCGCTTGTAAGCACCTCTAAACAATTAGTTATTTTCAAGAAAATGAGTAACAAGACATCTCACACAAGTAGAAAAACAGACTGCTTTTAAATTTCTAATTTTAGTTCCGTTTTTGCGCTTTCATAAACTTTTTGGAAAAGGAGCAGATCCCTATGGTTTTCCAGTTTCTATCTTTAGCCTTTTTCTTCTGCTAATGTCAAATTCAGACACCATGCGTAATGAATAAATGAATCTCATAAATAAATGAAACTCAATTAGGGACACACACGTAATCGCACGAGTTTCGATTCAGAAACTCCTTAGCACAAAAAGCTTATATCTTTCTATTTCCGCGTTACCCCAACATCCAAGTTCACAGATCTTCCGCTGACACCCTCTCATCGCTCTAGTGTGGAACTATCAGAAGCAGAGACTCATTGCCATAACGAATTATTCATTACAGCTTGGATTTCCGCCGTGATCGCACGGCACTCAACGCTTCGACTGCCATAAAGGTTCCGCATATCATAAGCTCTTTCTTCTGGATTATTTTATCTTGTTGGAAATTCTTAGAAAATTGGTATGGTTTGCAAGTCACGGTACTAAAAAACTATTATTGAATAAACAACCCTGGAGTGTTTTAAAGCACTTTTTTCATTGCCTATCAACGAGTCTTTTCAACTGATAAAGCTTACAGCTGTTCTGTGACATAAGAAAGCTTCTGGATATTGGAAAGATAACGTTAAATCTCAAAACGAGTTCAAGTTGAATTTTCCAGCGGCACAGTAAAACACAAGCCCAGACCTGGCCATTGCGATGATTTGAGAATGGCTCCGAACTGCTCCAGTGCTCCTAAAAATGCCTAATTGCGCACAAGATCCTTAACAAATAGAGCAAAAATGCTTTTTTTTCTTTACTCAAAGTATGAGTGCGAAAACTAATGCGAATGTGAAGTCTGAGTATTGCAATGGTTCATTTTGCATGTTCAGTTGTACCATGTACAGCTCATAGAAGATATAAGTATTTCTTATTTTGATCAAACACATTAGCGCTATTAGGAAATAAAAATGACTAAATTGTTGAATTTCTTTTGAATTATGCAACTAGACAAGCTTATTCCAGAACTATACGCGTTTGTTTTCTTTTGAAATATCGCCAATCTTCAATGCAGCAATTTGTGGCACCATAAACAGGAACAAGAACAAAAATCTGAATCTAAAATCTTCATTCCGTGGGTGTTACCAGTCTCATCAGCTTTGTTGTCATAGCCCTGCGTGTTAACGCTCCATAACATCACGTTTTTTAAATCGTCTTAGATGACGACCAACTGCGGTCACGAAAGGTATATGAAGTAAAATGTGAGAGCATTTACATGGGCTCTATGCAAGCTTTTCTTTTCTAATACCAGATCAGATTTTTAACGACGAACGAGTTTTTCAATCCGTTTCGCATTGCGTTAACTATGCCGCTTCAAATGTCACTCCAACAGTTCAGTGTTTCTGTTAGTTAGAATAAGGTCAAGGAAATTCCTCGGAACTTTGCCATATAAAATGTGAAACCCTAAAGCCCACGCATTTTTCTTCATCAATCGAATTTCTCAGTACCTGTTTGCGACGAGACAATGACCTCATCATCGTTTTCATTTCCTTATTCTCCACTAAGACAAGACGAATGAAATCCACAAATCCCTCTGGCTCAACCATGTCGACTTGATCTTGTTTACTACCACCCAGCCCGCTTCGAATCGTACTTAGCTCCTTCAAAATCCACCTTCACTTACGGTTCGAATTCGCTCAGTGGCTTGTGGTTGTGACGGTCTTGATTACTATCAGCTCTTCTTTCAGTCATTTCTCACGGATTTGCATCTCTAAATTTTCCATAGATGTCAAGCGATTACTCTTCGATGAACGAGAATCTCAGCGAAACCTTATGTATGCCTTCAGCTGTAAGTACACAAACATCTTTTTACTGAAAATTACATATTTTGCGTGTTGATAATTAAGTCGTGAGTGTTCTATCTTGAACAAATTGAAATTTAGTTCATCGATCAAAATGTTTTGTTGAAATCTGTGCGATGGATGGACTACTTCATTTTTATATCGGCAATACTTTCATCTTTTTTGCAAATATACGTTTTGAAACAGGTTTGTTGAAGATTTTGGTAATAATATGGAGGGAAAAAAGATAAACAACTGACATTTGAGGCAAATCGCCATATTCGTCGAAGTGCAACTGACCAATGTCTACATGTGTTCCTGTTCAGCATGACCATGGGTGACTTCATTCAAACAGGTAAAAATTCCCTCTTCACTTCTGCTTTTTGATAATTTTGATGAACGTTTTTCTTCAGCTTTTTGCTATCCAATCGAAGGGATGGCGCGGATTCTGGAAAATGAAGAGAAAGTGCCAAAGCATCTCTTTGTTGCTGTGCATTTTCTTACATGGGTGACACTTTCGGGTTCAAGTCTGAGCCTAATACTTCTTAATCTCGACAAATTGCTCTATTTCAAATATCCATTAAGGTAATTAATCTTTTCTTTGTTGAGATTTTGATATGTCTACTCAGACCTAATAGCACTTAGCTCTTTGCACTATCTTTGATTCCAAAAAGTTTTGCGAAAACACTTCCTAGAAGGGTGGGTGTACTAGCGCTTTTAAGATTTAGTTTCTCAGGTATTCCAATTATGTGACGAGAAGACGAGGAATCACCTTAGCCGTGATAGTATGGGCTATATGCGTGATTTTTGTGGCAGCTGCTTGGTATTTTGAGTGCTTCAAGTGAGTTAACAGACAGTTTGTAAAATAATTGCTTCAAAAGTGTTGCGCAGGAATGGCTCTTACACTGGATTGATATTGACTTGATTTATATCAGTAAACTCGTGCATAGCTTACTTCGAATACCATATCTCAACCGAATCGTAGGAATTCTTTATCTAGCTTACAAAAAACCTGCAAGAATCCTCACAGATAGCTGTAATCTACAAAACATCGCTGACTCATGATCATAAGAAATGTTTCATCGTTTAATAAATGAAATTCCAGATGCGTGGAGCAAAACTGCAGCAGTATACAGCTTCTGAAAAATAAATGGATGTATCTGCTATTTTCGGTAAGAGACGGCGTGAATATCTATGCAATCAAAACTCCTGTTGCTGAATAAGCTATTCACTAATCAGCATTGAATTCCATGTTTTTTCGCGTAGGAGAGAGCTGTTTGAGAAGCAGAAAATATATAAATCACCTCAAACTCTCATGTCAACAACTTTCGAAACTGCAAGTTACCTGGACAAGTATCTATGAGTATCTGACATAAATATGAGCAAAAGGACCATATCTAAGACCCCTAGATATCCATAGGATTCACAGTAACCACGTAATACTGGAGAAATTGGTGCAATAGAAATTACTTGTTGTCAAATTTCGTTTACTCTTGTTCAGTGTCAAACGTTTAATCTCGATTGTTTTATTCACTTACAGCCGGATTCTCATAATATTTACTCTAAGTCCAACCGAACAGAGTTTCAAAGTCGCTCCACATTAAAAAGAAAGATAAGCCAGTCAAAATCTGAAGACAATAAAGCTGAACGCACTGGGATCAGATGCGTGTTATTGACGCTAAAATATAGAGTTATCACAAAAATATTTTAGGCAAGCGTATGTGTGGTCCCTACGCTCACATCATTGGCAGTGGCCCTCTTCATTGTCAAAGTCGTAACGACACATAGGAGAAAATTGGCTGAAGGTACAGTCTGTTGTCTGGTACTATACGAATGCACTCCTTTACCATAAAAACATTTCGCACTTTCCTCTTCCTTCCATTATGGTCATTTTTAAAATCGTGACGACCGATTTGACTGCGGACTTTGCGCCCACAGGAGCTTAAAACACTCATACAAAGCGGCACCACCTCAAAGCTCACTCAGTCACATCGTCTGAATACTATTATACGTAAGCAGAAAAACCACATAAGTATAGATGAAAACCAGAAAATGCGGTTGCCGACGTTGCGTGCGTGTCGCGCGCGGTCGCGCCATCGTCACGATTTTTCGAGTGCCCTATACCTTGTCTGATCCATACATCCATAAAATTTAGTACACTTCGAAAGCAGATGAATGCTTCTGCGAAGGGAAGACTTTGTCCACGTCAAAAAATGCGCACCAAAATTTGGAATGGATTTGAATCAATTTGAAAATATGTGCAATGTAAATTTGTTCAGCCTCTACAGATTTAACAGATAAGAGAGGCGAAGTAGACCTTCTGAGCATGTTCTTGAGTATTTTTCGCTTCATCGTAAAATTTCAAGCATTCATTTCAAGTGTATTTGTAATTGAAAAGAGCTTGCCTACTACTTTTGATATTGAGCACAAACGTGGATGATTTACTCACCGTCCTATAAATACGCAGGTCAACGTTTTTCTGTTAACCTCACACCTGTCCATATTTAGCAAGCACATTTGGAAGCCGGCTTCTACGACCACTAATTGCTAGGCGCAAACCAGTGATTCATCTTTTTTTCCAATTTTTCAGAACAAGCCCTCTATCAGTCCGGGCCAGCACGTCAGGCGCTCGTTTCACGTCTGAGAACGTTCTATTTCGTATTTATGACCACTGTATTCACTGCTGCCACATTACTTCCATACAGGATCAGTTGTATCATAGTGAAGCTCTTTAGCAGCCAACAGCATGAGGTAATTTGTGGTCGTTTGTGGTAAAGTTTTACATAATTATCGAAGTTTTAGATTGGTTCATGCGGTGGGATGATTTTCCGTTGGATAATTTATCATCTCATCAGCCTTAATGCTGTAAGTCTCACTTTTACGAATAGATAGGAATTTGAACTATTGACTAGCTAAAGTAGACAATTATGATAGCTCAATCCTGAATTTGAGCGAAAGCCAATTTCTCCTGTATATAGCGACGAGTCATCGCATAGGGCGCCATTGCGGACTTGGTCGGCGTCTCTCCGACCAAGCGCTCTTTCACAGTTAGTACGGTCTTCTGACTCTTATAAACACGAACTATCTCAATGAGTCAATGGCATCCGGCGTGCGACGACCAGCCTTCTAAAGTAGGGGTGCACCTTTTAAATAGAATAAGCTTTTCTGGTCTGTGCTCTTGATTTGGAGAAATTGTACCAAAAAAATCTTCTTCTACAAAACTATACAACTTACAACGTACTTTGTACAATCCTTGGAAGTGCACAGTCAGAATAATGTTGCCTACGCATACCGGGCTCATTTCCCTCTAATTAGTCCTTTATTTTCCGATATATCTGCATACTATGGATACGCATAATTAATGATGTAATGAGGTCGCACAAAAAACAACCGAAAACAAGCATATCGATAACAATGACATGGTTTGGTTCGCTATGGACAAATTTAGCGACCTCTTAGATATCTACACAAGCACAGTGAGCACAAAATCTTTGGTCTGTGCTGCAGCTCATAGATACATATGCGACGGATTACTAATTCATTCTTATGGATTAATCCTAGTGATATAATCCATGTAGTCTGGGAGCTACGTCACAAAGTAACAATCTACTTTCCTTTACGCGGAGTGCAAAAATATAAATGCTTTTTTTTTGAAGTGTCTTCACTCAGAAATTGGAAATTAATGTAAATATTAGTTGAGCCTTTTAATATTGATAAAAAATCAAAATTTGGAGAATTTCCTAGGTCAGTATGTAAAATAATGAGTTGAGACAAAACCTGTTTTAGATCTTTAATCCTCTGATTACGGTCACCGTACTACCTCAATATCGCTGTCGTCTTATTGGCCGTCTCCTAGGCACTAGCGGTGCTGAAACAAAGACCGCTGATTTGTGAAGTAAGCTGGAAAGCGAACCTCGATTTGAAAGTCAATCCCGTTTTTAGAACTCGAGCAAATCCGACACTCATCACGGGCAAGCACATACTCCGGGAACTTGGGAGTTGCGATTTCAGCGTTACATATGAGACAGAATACATGATATCTGTCATATTGTCTATTCCAACCAAATAGTAAAAGAGTGTGAATTGGTATATTTTATGTATGTGATAAAATTAGATTTCAGTGTTTGTTTTTGTTTTCGGAACAGTTCATGTTATTTGTTATATCATTACATTTCATTCTCATTGTACATCAAAGATGGAATTACGTTGTTGGAAACAAAAATCTTGCGAGCAAACAATCCACAAATATGAATATTGGCTTTCCTCCAATTTGTCTATCTAACAATGTCCAACAGTGAGTGAATCAAAGTAGGAACTACTCGATGGACAAGGAAAAATTGTTAGGATATTTCTAAAACAGTTGCAAAAAGATCGTAATTTCAGCACAATCCCGTCTACCAAGGTCCAGTCAAAAAATTTTGAAGCAGTAAAACATAGTGTTCTGAGATTTTTCGCATAGTTTTCTGTGTCAAATGAATTCTTCAAATAAATGTTAGCAAGAGATATTTAGCATTGATGCCATTTCTGATGCTCTAAGTTTCGACGTGAGCAGCCAACAGTTTGTTACAAAAAAAAACCTTGCATAGGAATCATGCATCCGCAACGCGAACGTCTGTATGCCGATTTGCTGCAGAGAAGCCGATTTAACTGACTAAACCATACGCTTGCGGAAGCCGCGCAAGGCTTTGGCGCTGCGGATATGCTAAGTACAGGACACCACGACTGGGACAGAGTGTATCTGGAAGCTTGTTGTGTGATGTGAGCAGAATACAGCGTAATTTTTTCTTCCAATAATAGCTGCCAACTGAGCTTATAGCATGTGAACCCTTTGGAAAGATCCGATATTATTTTCGCGGAAGCTACTTGAACAGTGATTTGGACAAGTTATAGCGCCGAAAACGGGCTTAAATTACACAAGCTACAGTTCATTATTTTACAATTAGTTAAGGAAATACAGGTGAGAAAGAGCTGCAATCTTTTTTGACTCGTTCAAACTCCGTATGGAATTTGTGAGTACCTAAAAAATGTCAAAAACGTATGGACCTTTGACACACAGACCATAATTCAATGTACCAGGCAAACTGGACTATTTCTATCCTTTCAGATTAGCGTAGCTTCCAGTAAATTAGTAAGCAATCCCTGAAATCGCTAAACGTAATCTCGAGGAAAGCAGATCGCCAATACAGTGAAAAGGCCTGAGCAAAGAGCCGGAATTATATTGTATCCTTGCGACTAGCTGAATGTACTGTACATTTGCATATTTAGAATGATCTCCATTTCAAATTTGAAAGTATAAATTCACTTTGCCTCGCTCGAAAAAAAAATGCCGCACAAACGCGTGTACCTTTTTGAAAACTTTTCGACGCAACCACCAATCACAGCAAATCTCTACGATTACTTTACCAAAGGTCTAAAGATGGAGACTTGTACAGCTAACTTCGACTTGAACAGAAGCTTCTTCGTTGTCCACAAGACCAGCTGAACTCAGTCTTAGGAATTTTGTAAATTAGAAAATAAGTTATATCATTCAGAAAACGACGAAAGAAACGCTTGCACCCGATTTTTCGTTTGAAGGGTACGACTGAGCAAATGATGATCCACTCATTCTAGGATATCTTGTGCTGATTTTCGCAAATCGTCACCTCAGCCTGTAGATGAAGTGAGCTTAAGGCATAAAAAACCTGACTGCTAGATATGAAGAAATGTATGTGCAACCTAATGGCAGTTGCGGAGACTTTCTTTTTAGTAAGGTGGGAACTAAAGCGGAAACTTTGCCATGAACACCGAAGTTCCACTCTACTTTGCTCGCTCTCTCCTCTGAGGTGACACAAAAGTAGCAACGATGGCACCTCTAATAGGAAAGAGCGCCCCTATTGAACAGTTGCATAGTTGGCGCGAACAAGGAGAGTTGTACAGTTTGAAAGTGGCAAAGGCAAACTCGTTCCATGTCTATGTGAAGTGAATTTGATTTACAGTGCTGGTGTGGTAGGAGTAGGCACCACCTCCTTTAGGTGTCACCAACCTATGAACAACTTGAGCCGCTTAGAAGTACGGGTCGTAGTAAATCAGAAATTTACTTCTTGAAGAAACTGATACAGTCATTACAGGTCCTGGAAACGGCAGCAGATACGTTTTTGGTATGTGTCGAGTGACGGACCGTGACCGCACCAGAACATTAACTGCACCGAAGCTCTGTCATGGACATACGCCCATCAGTACATTTACGGATTAGTTGAACTAGGTTAGAATGTAGAGAGCTCGTTCCTTTTTCGAAAAGTGGGAATTTGCAATCCTCGCAAATTTAGTCTGCTGACATTATATATCGCGCAAGATGGCCTAGCTTCAAGTTCTTCCACGTACGCAGACACATGAGCTGAACTGTCCAGAAAGGCAACAGAACTTCATTAGTATCTCATTAGGCTCATATCTGCTATATCAAGGTTTTGACAACTAAACTCACTTCATGATAAATTTTTCAGCTTCTTTAGTCTACGATAAATTTCTCTCTTAGTTGATGTTGCTGCTTTGTTCTGTCTGAACTGGAGGTGACGGCTGATTTAGGATCTTGGAGCGTATCCCATCGAGATTTCTTGGTTTCCCTTGATATCAAGGATTTGCTCTTGGAAAATGGAAATCAATTCCGCTGTTCTTAATCTAAGCTCAGATCAAAGACGGCAATCTAAGAAGAATGGAATCGCACAATGAGTTTCATGGATTGCCGAACGAAAATTTTGCAGTTACATATGTCGAAAGGATAAACAATATGAACTAATCTTTGAGTGGAAGCTCATGCTACTACGATATTCTTGAGATTAATGCTAATTTTAATTATTCTACCAATATACGACCAAATAAAAGCTTCACACGTAAGCTATCGATTAGAACTGTTTTGTTTGTCTACGATCAGATTCCAAGTATTAGACGCAATAGAAACATTGAATTAATGATACTGGCCTGCAGAAAAAAGAAATTTGATCTTATCATGGCCCAAAAAATACTCTATGGAGACTGTGGATTGAATCTGGTTCGTATTTCACAACTAAGATATTAAAAACTGGGGCGGTACAAGAAAATTGATTATTCCAAGATCTAAGCACAATGTACGAGGAAATTTCATTTATATGTAGAATTTTGCTTGATGTAGATGTACTTATACGTGAACGAGTGCTTGTTCTAAGCTGGCTCCGTTCAAAAGATTTAAGGAGCCATTTGCAAAAAAAATGAATTTCGTTAATTGTTTCGTCATGAGGTAGTTTTGGCCTTTTGTTGTTTGTTTTGTTGATCTTAATCTGTTTTCCGTAGGGTCTTCCTACGTAATAAAATAGAATAAATAAAATGAATACGAGGAAGTTTGAAACACATTAGCGAGCGCCAGCCGCTCGCCGTGCAATCACAGCGCTCCGCGCGAGATGACCTAGCTACAGTATGCTGACCCCCAACTTTTCAGCCCTTACGCGCTCACCGCAAAGACCCTAGAACACGAATTGCTTGCTTCATCAGATATCATATCCTTAGTTCATGGTTTCTAATTAGTTTTAGAAGAGGTACTCGAGGTAGATTGATTTCTTTACACCAACAAAAGAGGTTCACAGTTAGGTTTCAATCATAAAAAGTGATAAAATCAATGGAAAAAGGATAGAATGTATGAAGCTAGCAGTCGGAGTGATTTTGAATTGTAAGAAAGCTCAGTTACTTTCCAAGCTACTTGCCAAACTACACCTGACACTTTAAACATAGCAATCCTCCACTAACGCCTAAAAAAAGATTCGTCAGCTTCAAAATACCCCTATACTGATGGGTTTCCCGCATGGAATATATTCACAAATTAACAAATATTTCGCGGCTGTAGATCATTTACTTTACATCGGAGTCAAGCTGGTGAAGCAGTGACTATAGACTATAGGGACTAGATCATGAGTAACGAAATGTGCAAAACATCCAAAGCGTCAACTCTGCCTCCAACGAGTACGGCGAGGTCACAGCCGACTGTAGCGTGCCTCAATTAGGGAACTAAGCAAAAGAAAATTTTGCAACGATATCGGAGTTCAGGCTAACATTTTGATACACAAGAGCATGGCGATTTAGTGCACTACGAGAGAGATGCAAATGTAAGTAATAGGGACTCGCTCATTATATGGAGGATCAGATCTTAGCTTCATTTATTAAAACAATTACATGTTGTTATTTCTTAGTCCTCCATAAGCATACAAATATGGTTGCTTTAGCGAGATATGTTACTTCAGAATCTGTGAAGAATGTCGCATTGGCACAACAAATGTTTATGGAGGTAAATGACAGAAGTTGGGGTGATTAGCCAAGCTCCTTATGACCTTGTTACCAGACAGCCGATTAGACAGGTAGGATTTGCTTCGAGGTTACACATAGCTGTCCCATTGAGCACGTAAAGCTTACCATATCTTTTTGAAGCCAATCTGAATAGTTCGAGAGATCGGTCTCAGTTCTTACTACAGAATGTGTTTGAATCTACCTCGAGATCAGTAACGAAGTATTTTGTATTGATTATTTCTACCGTCTACTACCGTATGCGAAGTGCGGGCTTCGCATTAACGACCTGTGCATTTCACAACACGCCCACGCCCTATCACGTGCCAGGTCATCATAGCGCTTGTGAGCTCAGCTTCTCGCTTACTTCATTGGACATGAACCGTTTACCTTCTGTGAATGGGATTGGTCATTCGCCCGGAAATCTCCCCCCGATCTCCGTTTTCCTTCCGTCGAACCAGCCTGGATCCGATCCATCGAATCAACCAGCATTCAGTCCATCGACTCAGCTACCATTTCGTCCATCCCAACCGTCAGCGTTCCATCAGTACCAGCGTCCAATATACAACGCTTACGAGTGGCACACACAACCAACGACAACTATTTCGACAACCATGTCTCCTTCTTTCTTTTCGCTCCAGGACCCAGTCGGAATAAGCCTACCACCACCAAGCCTCCCACCATCATTGCCGCCAGTTCAGCCGGAAAACGATCTACCGCGTCCTCAACCAATTCATCCTATGGAATATCAGAATCTCCCCCCTATGGAGCCGGTTGCCAATCCTGCTCCTCATAATCCGCTGCCTTATGTGCCCAGTTTGTATCCGTTCATGAATTTCAGTACTGCGAGTCAGCCACCACTCAACCCATCGGATGCACAAGGCGATCCTCCCGCTGAGATTGTGAATGTTGAACACGTGGACATGGATGTAACCCCTCCTCAGGTTCTCGACATCGTCGCTTCTCGCGCAGATGAGCCCGGAGTTCCAGCTGATTTTCAGCCGCACAAGCGCTATCCAGCACTACTTGTGCAGATGACAAACAGAAACAACCCAGTTCTTCTCTACAATGCGCCCAACACGGACCGCTGTTATTCCTTCATCTTCGCTCGCAAAGCAGGGCGTTTTGACGTCTACATGTGCAAAGGCTGTTATGAAATCGTGCCGCAAGAAATCATTGTGGTACGTTTAGCAAGCATTAGTATGGTGTTAAATAGTATCTTTAGCATGTTCACGGAAATTATTTCCAAACCGACCCAACTAACTTGCCTCATATCTGCAAGCCGAAATTGCTTATCGAAGAGATATCGCAGTATACCAAGAGGAATGTGAAAATGCCTCTTAAGAAGTACCTTCTCGTTCAGAAATCGTCAAAGCCAAGGTTTGTATCTGATACAGTTGACCGTGGTATGAAAGGTTCTCTTCAGTGCTACTCGTCGTGGTAAAGCGAGAAAACATCTTCATGTGGCTGTGGATAAGGATTATGTGCCAGTCTCAGTCAGCGGCAACTATGGTTAGTTCATTATGTGCTTTGCCTTTGGCACCTTAGTGATTAGGTGCAGCGAAAACCAGCTGACTGCTTGTTGAACGTGATCGTATTGATCTATTTCTGATCATGTGATGATCTACCTTTGCGCACGTACAGTTCAAAGTTCGTGATATTGCATTCTGGCTTGATTCTATAATAGTGAAGTATCTCTGAAGACTACCGTATAATTCTGATTAAGAATGCATTTCAGGGAACAGACGTGTTACCCGTGCGCAAGCTAAAAGGTCTACGGAAATGTCTACCTCCTCAGAATAGTCTCGACCGGCGTGTCATTCCTTGTAAGTCAAGGTGAGCACAGCATTAATCTCCTGATTTACTAAAGGTTCTTTGACTTTTTTACAGGATCAGGTCATAGTGCCTTTGTTGACCACTCCTATGTTACCGGTTTTACGATCTATCTCAATTCGATCCTGTGAATGATGAATTTTTTGAAAAGATATGTTCTATCTCATTTTGATCTTGTGTTTCTTTGATGAAGTATCATGATAAGCTCCATTAGCTTTGCTTTTTTTGCATATCGTTTTTCTGGTGCAGTATCTGCACTCATACAGTTACTTGTGTTACATTTATGCATATTCCTTGAATTTTTCTGGAAGCCATTTTTCAATGGCATTGTTGCTAGAGAGATATCCATCGTATTTCTCTCTGTTGTGAAGATCGCTGAAGCGTGCGCTGCTCTTCTGTGGTTTTTCTCTCTGTACATGATTTTTCTTTCTGGATCGACTTTTTTGATCTGTTGTGTAGTAATAAAGTTTCCTGTAAGCGCTACCACAGTATGACTACAGCCTATTGTGTGCATTTCATTCATGAACAATGTGAAGAATCTCATTTTGTATTTCAGATATCGCTGAGATCGAATTGCGGAAAGTCTCAGTAAGTGTGTGGAGATTGAGGTTTCGTTTTTTTTTCACAGTTTTACAGCAGCTACTACAAAATGATGGAGTAACATAAGCAAAGTGTGATATTGTGTTACACGATACTTCTCCTTGATTATCACCGCGCTGCTCATGCTACTGATGCGTTCGTATTGTCCTTGGAGCATCTTTTCCAAAAGCATTCAGCTTTGTGCTTCTGTGCCACAACCTCAATTGAGCGAAGGAGCTGTGTTGCGGTGGTCTGTAGGAAGGAATATCTTGTGACATGAACCTTGCATATTCTGTGATACAGAACTTAGTTAAGTATCTATTGATTGCGTTGTGCCACCGTATACATGAAATTAAGAATCTAGAAGTTGCCGAAGCATAGCTTTCCTTAACAGGTGTCTGGGTTTACTGTTTGACGTAGCTTTCCTTGCCGTGAGGAAAGCATGGGTTTCTAATTGTATCAAAGAGAATGATTTGTTCTTCATCTTAGACTTCGGACAGAGTTCACGCAATTTCATTGCCTCGCGTTGCTCCAACAAGACAACTGCCACGAGCCCATTGCGTACCGACCATCTTGCATCTCGGTTGTGATACTTATCCGACACGACTAATCATGACTGACTATCACAACCGAAATGCGAGTTGATCGGCATGCTGTGGACTTGTAACACTGTCGTGTGGGAGAATCGCGAGGCGATAAAATCGCGTGAACTCTGCCCAAAGTCTTAAAGAAATGTGTGTCTGTGTTCTTCCTAGCGAATATTAGAGCACTGATACAGGCAGTGCACAACCAACTGTCTAGGTATTTTCATCCGTGTGTTTCTTCTGAGGCTCTGACACTTCGCGGCATTGAAGTATCGCAATTTGTGCATTGCCTGCGTTGTTGAGCTCTACTTCAATGCGCTCTTCTTCTTTTTGAAGAATTGCTGCTCTGAATCGAAATTTGTGACGATAATGAAATTCCTCTGTTTAGATAGTGCAGCTTTCAAATCTTTCTTACGCTGTCGTTCCTTCTGAAATCTGAAATACCGGCGGACGACATGATAGGCTTGAACGATATGATTGTAAGTCAGTTATGTCTATAGTAATTTAAGGTTTAGCTGATTTTGAAAGTTCAAGTCTCGTTCATAGTTATAGAAGTGGCGGTCTTTCCACAATCACTCCAAACTCATGCAAAAAAGTAATGCTACTACAAACGCCATTTTGCGGGTCTAATTCAAAACTAATTCGTGTGCCATGACCTCACGCCTAGGAGGGAAAAATCATTTATGACCCTTGTAACTGTGGGACACGACCCGGTCAATTTATCCCTGAGGCAAGGTCACGAAAGGTTATATAAGACGTGTGGGCTTCAACTCTGAACGTAATCATGAATTACTCATGCATGTTCCAGAGTAATTACTACGAAGCTGCTTCGTTTATCACTGGATTCTCGGCTCTTCCCTGTCCGCAAGACGTGCGGAATGTTCCAACACCAGCCATGTGTCTTGGTTTTCCATTGCCCCTAAATCAGTACTACCCGGAATACCCTCCTACCTACAATCAGCTCACTTATTTGCCCGAATATCCTCAACCAAGCTATTATTCGGCTGCTCCTGTTCCAGCACCTGCTTACTATTCCACCAATGATGTAGCAAACCAGCCTAATACCTCCACCCATCTCGAAACGAGTGCCAATGATTCGTGGCTGGAAAACTCAACAAGTAGCGTCCAGCTCGAAGATGATGTCGTTTCTGTCGACGGTGAATCCTGTACTGATAATCCGCAGCACTTTGTTGGCACATTCGCCCCGTCGTACCGAGGGGCCACGCCCGTATTGCTTTACCGTATTCCTTCTACGGATCTCTGCTACGTCTACAACCGGATTAGAACTGTTGACGGTTCAAAGGGACATTACGTTTGTAGAGAGTGCTATTTGAAGAAGAAGTATGTACCTGCTAAGGTAAGGAGCAGAGCTTCTGTTGCTACTAACTTCCTAGCTGATGTTGTTCCTTTCAGGTGATTGACGATACCCACTTCGTCAAAGATCCAATGGCAGGAGGGCACATCTGCAAACCAAAAAGCTTTTCAAAGGAGTTTGTGTCACGCAGTTGTGCTAGGGTAAGGCCTTAGGTAGCATAGTAGCATATGCACTTTTTTGTGGCTTCATTTTTTTACACGCTTGAATTCTCAATAGGTTTTATTTTAGAAGCGATGCCATTGTGGCGATGATTCAGGGATATCAACGAGTTTTACCTGAAGGAGTACTGTCCTACTAAGGTCATTCTTTACATATCTGTTCTCACCATTTACTTCCCATTTACTCACTGTGCATTTTCCCCTTTTGCGCATGGATTTCTATATTAGATTTATTTAGAGTTCTAACTTTCTCGTTATTCACCTGTTAGTTATCTTATACTTACATGGTGCCATCTGCCTAGGCTTTTTTTCCTCTCTGTTATTCACCTGTCAGTTTTCTTATACTTACATGGTGCCAACTGCCTAAGTTGTTTTTTCTTGTATCTGATGACTTGTATATTCATTCCGACTCTACTCGCTGGTCTTCCTTCCGAATGAATCTATGAGGAGGAATTTGAATCATGGAGATAAAAATTGTTGATTTATAGAACGTAGATTTAACACATAAAATAAAATTGTGTAAGATCACCTTTACGAGCGTACTTGTGTAGAACAGTCCTGTTTATCGACACACTTATGAAATTCAGGTTAAGAAGCCTAATGCCCAGTGTATGTCTAGAATACTACCATTTGGTCAGACGGAAGTTAAATACCTAGCAAAAAATGAAATTCTTTGTTCTTCCTGTGGTTTCACCAGTATGTTGTGGATGGTTGAAATAGAGCATAATTGATGACGTAGAAGAGAGTCGGTGAGTTTTGCGCTTACTCAATTTCAGTAACAGGCGAAATAGAAAAGAAAACAAACTTTTAATTAGCGCATTATGTTAAAGCATTCATAAATGACGCATTCCTACCTTTTTTATTACGCAACAACGCGCGGAAGAGCAGGACTCGGATGATTTTTGAGCAAAACCTGTACGGACTGTGCTCGCTGATTGACAGATGTGGTTGGATAGTGTTTGTAGATGTCAGAGAAAGCTTGGCGAAAGCCAGCTACAGTCGAGGCTGTGCGCATGACAGCTCTGCTAATTTCCACGTTATTACTTCTGATTGCTGGGTCCTGCTCAGCGAGCATTGGGCCTGAAAGGTATAGTTTGGTTTAGTTGCGCATTTTAGCTCTCTTCCATTTCTATGATTTGATGAATTTTTTGTGGACCTAATCCCATGCTGAAGTTCTGGGTATACAAAAAGTTTGAGATAAAGTCATTTCTGAGTTGTCAATGTCCAGTACAGTATTGCTTTCGGTTTTTTTCTTTTTCGCTGACCGCTTTAGTTTATCCTGTCCAGGAAACTGGAAGTTCCACTGAACTGGACAGTATCCGTTTTCAACAAGGAAGCTATAACAGCTGCAAAAAACTTTCAAGATCTGAACCCTGAAACCCATACCGCAGTACTTCCTATGTCGGCAACCGCGTCGCAACGGCTGTGCGCAGTGCGTCACCAGTTTTATGAAGACTTGGATCTTGACAGTCATAACCTAAGTTTTATCAGCTAATCAGCATGCCAATTGTCGATCGATTACGACCATTTGTGCCCCGGATCCTAGCACAAGACAGCAAAACTCAGACGGGTTTATAGAAAAACGCATATTTCAGTGATTTTTCAAAGTGGATACATAATAGTACAGCATTATATATCGCGTCATGTCGTCAACTCGGCGGTATCATAGCCAATGACACAAATCCGTTTTTCCTCGAACTACGTTTGCTATTGACATTCTAGATCATGTGAAACTTCGTCCTCAAGATGTTAGGCTTTCGCTCAAAATTTTTTCAATTGCAGATCAGCAAATGAAGCTGCTGCCAGAGATGCCGACACCATCTACGTAGTGATATTCATTATCCTGTTCTTCCTTGCAATGCGCCACGTTAACGACTTCTACACCGGAGAGACTGTAAATTTTTCTGGATTGTTCAAACAGTGCTCAAACAGCGCAAAACAGGGCAAATATTATAGGACGCACGAGACATAGTCCGAGTCTGTTTTGGACGAAGTGAGATGCTTGTAGGTTGAAAGCGCGAACGCAGCGGGCGAGCGACCATCGCTTTCTCCCCATGCGTTCCACCAATAGGTGCTTCACCACCGCGTTCGCTCCCGCTTCGCGTTGATGAGCGATCCACCTTCGTCCGGCGCTAGCCCTTATTTACGGTCTAATTCATTGCTCTGGGGGCACTTATTCTTATCGCTTTTTTTTCACTTGCTCGTACTGCAAATTTCTGTGAAGGTTCTCTCTCCTGATCTCTCTGCTAGTCTCCAAGAAACACAGCAGACAGCATAACTGCTCTCCATAATAGTCGTGCGTTAAGGGGACATTCTGGCTGTTTTTTCCTCTTAAACGTGATGTCCTGGCACGATTTAGAAAAAAAATTTCGTTTCAGATAACCCTGGTTGAAGAAGGTGCAACTAGTGGACGATTCCATCATAAGGTCGAGACACGTATGCTAACTAGCATCGAGCGGGATTTCAATAATATGTATGAGCAGCTCAAGGACAAGGAGGACATGCGCATCAAAGCGGAGCAGGCCATTAAAGAGGATCAGATGGATTCGCACACCACAGTTTGAATGAATGTGCTCAATGTAAACAGTATGATTCAGAAATAAACATAGTTTTACAACGAATTGCAAAGCGCAGCCATCTTCTCCCATGATAGCCATTTTGAAAATGCGTAAAGTAGGAAAACGAAAAAAAAAGTTAAGCGTGACCGATGTAATGAAAGTTGATAGTCCCGTAAGAACCGACAATATGTGACTCTAACTCCGAATTAGTCTGTGGAAATCTCTGTTTTTTTGGAAGAAAAGTAAATAATGTCTAGTGCCGTCAACTCGTATGAACTCTTTTGGTCCCTTACTCCTTATCAAGCTCTTTCTGAAGTAGCTAATTGACATTTCTATTAACTCTGAACTAAAAAGGGAAGCGTGTTTAGTCGAAGTGGCGTTTCTAAGTGAAACTCATACCACTATGAAGAGCATTGCGCAATGGCTCCAAATCTGCCTTCATTGCCTGTAAAGCGCCTCTGGACGCCGAGTTATGATCGTTTTTTTGGAGCAAAAAATGAATGCAGAATTTAGGTAAAAGTTGTTACAATCTTTCAGGCGCTCAGATAAAGTAATGCTAAGTATTAGGCGTATAAGCAAAAACGTATCTACTATATAAACTGCTCTGATACTCGACACCGGACCATTTGAGCAAATTTTGGGCGATTTTGTTCCAGTTTTGCGTTCAACTTTTTGACCCCAAAACGCCTATAACTCGACGTCCAAAGGCGCTTGGCAGATAATGAAGGCAGATTTGGAATTGCTGTGCAATACGCCCCAAAACAGTTTAGGTCTCGTCTGAAAGGCCACCGACTACACACGCTTCCCTTGTAAGTTATATTACAGTCTGTGTCAGCGATGTGCTCATTTATAGCGCTCCGCTCCGCGTTGAGGGCGTACCGCTTGAGCGCTCCAAATTTGGCGCACCGATCGGAGATTGTTGCGCAATGCTCACGCGCTGCGGATGCGTAGTTGCTACGAAAAGCGAGCTCGTAGTTGACACAGTTTCTATGATCTCCGCCTTACCGGCACCATACACAAACATGAGGAATTTTGTTCATAAGTAAACGTTTCTCTAAATTCATGCACAGTAAGGAAGACACCTCAAATCCTGAGGCAAAAAAATTGCTAATGCTGAAATTCACTGAACGTGGTCCAAGACTGTAGCCAGCAAGGATACCGGCATGTAATGGACAATCAGCCTAAGTTGGAAGAAGTTTGAAGTTTTCGATCATCAAATAGAACTTCTGTATTGAACTGTGATCAAGCAAAGACTAGCAATGTTACGTGATAAATAACTTCTAACCCTAGCCTAATCTAGTCCAAATCGATAAAGGGCTCATTTTGGGCTTCGTCTGGATCCACATATCGATCAAGACGCATGAAGCATTGCATGCTACCTTGGATCACTGAGGAGTCATTTCAAGTTGTGAAGTGGAAAGGTTTTACCGGAAGCAGCCGTATAACTCCCCCCGCTTAGACAATCGGTGCTGTAATTTGAATGAGAAGTGAGGCTCAGAAAGCTTGAAAAATTACTTTGTTTGTATAGTAGGTATACAGCGCGATCGCGCATGATCTACTTGATCGCGATAAAGTCGATATTCTTCCTCATTCGGAATCAATTTTGGACGCTGGTCGCACGCTTTGTTTCCTTTTTATGTTGCACCTTTACTTTCATTTCTGATATGTAAATCATAGACCAGGAGAATGCAAAATTGAGATTAGAAGCTTTGTATAGATCTCATTTTAGCTCGGATTCCTTCTGTCATAATTTCTGAATATTTTCTCAATGGATCATATACTACGCTACTTCGTGTAACTTCTTGCTTTATATGTTTGTGATGTTTTATTTTCGGCTGAAGTTATTTATGGCGATCTCGTCATTTTGTTTCTTCTTACAGTCCAGTGACTCACGTAAGCATAGATATCAAGCTGTAAAGCTGCAAATCGCGACGAGGTGCTCTTCAGCATCTTTGGACTGCAAAAAAGTTATGCTTCCAGTAATCATCGGACATATATGGTTTGATTATTGCAAATGAAACACTGAAAAATCATTTTGTACGAGAGTGGTTGTGAGACGAGTTTCTATATTTTATCGGGTGCAAATTAGAAATCCAAGACTTTGATCCGTTCAACTTCGTATGTAATCAACGGCTTCATGGAAATAGTCCTTCTCATCACATATCCTGAGAAGTGTTAATTTTCTCTTTGCTTCCAGGACTACTTGAATAATCGCATCGAAATTCTATTGAGTAGGTGCAAAGACCTGCTCAAAGGAAGCCTAATTCAATATCTTCATTTTTTCTCTTGACTTCTCTTGTTTGAACTGGTTGAAAATTAGATATTATCGCTGCGACGGTTTTTATAGATGTTTCCCTTCCTTTAGTCCAAGTCTCTACTGAAAATTCTGCAATTTCTTTCTTTTTCGAAGTTTGCTGATGATCATAAATGGATCGTATATGCCAAATTGCTTATGGATGGTAGGACAAAGGAGAAACCCAAACTGAAAAACAAGAAAAAAAAATCAAACCACCGAAAACTACCGGAATTCGTTCTTAGATAGGTCTAAAAAATTTAGTTTTCCTTCTTGACTCCTTCGATTTTAGAGCAATATCAATTAGACGCCGCTTGATGGTTGTTGGTTTTTTACCAATACAAAATAATTGTTCTAATTGGGCAAGGGCAGGCGCACTGATCAACGGGAGTTGAAAAACTCGTTTTTGTGACAGTCACTTATACGAAGCAGCTCACACCTGAAGAAATATGAAAAAACTTACTCAAATTTGCGCTGCTGCATATACATGTTACGCTGATGGGCCAAAGCCAATTCCATCCACCGGTGATGATTCACGAATCTGGCTTCGGTTTGGCTACCACGAAGCATGGCGTGTGAAGAATGTAGTAACTGACGCGTGTGGCAGCAAAGACCACTTCGCGAACTTGAACGATTTGTTATTGCACGGTCGTTTGCTGAATTCAGCGCAACAATGTGGGCGCGAAATCGATGCTCTAAAAGTCGCTGTCAGCGGATGAAATATCCTCTGAAAAATCAGCCCTGCCGTTTATATTCTAGTTGTTCTGGGAGTCGTTACACCAACAATTGGGAAGTTCTGAAATTATTCCGCAATTTCGAAATTTAGCAAAGTTAAAAAGTTCCGCAACGACATACTTCAGAACTCAACCGTTTCTGCGAAATGTTAGCAATAAGTCAGACTTAGATAGTAGTCCTTTCATCTTTTTGTCATTTTGCCATTTCATTTCAAACAATATGTAAATATTTTGCTGCACGCTTTAATAGTATTCGGCACAAGTCTTTGCGAAAAGACGAATAGGGTTCGCTTAGACGTTAAGTATGGCGTGTGTCTAATGTAAGTTATGCTTACGCTTAAATTGTCGTAAGCTCAAGAGCTTCTCTACTGAATTTGGCGTACAAAATCATTGTCAGTTGTCATGTCTTCTATGAGAAGCTGGTCAACGATGGATTACCGTTACAGTAACCTAAAAGGCGTTTACACCAGTCACTTTAGAAGCCAGAGCGTAGAAAATCGCTAGGCTGCAGAATCTATCCAGTGAGCCCCCTGAAGTCCCTTACTATGCGGTTACAACCATGAGTCTCTAGCGAGTCTTTGAATTCACGTGTCAAAAGAAAAATCTTGTCATTTGACTACAAAAGTGCATTTGACTGTCAGAACACGCTTTTGCGTACTACATTAATTGGCCAAACTACTGAAAAAAGCCAGCTCGTACTTTGTTAGGGCAGATGAGATCTTATCGCTAACGGTACTTTAGACTATGTTCATCATTACCTACTTTGGAACTACTGTTACCGCTTTCAGAGGAAAATCCTATCGACAAACAGTTTCTTTGACGTTGAGTACTTGATCGGCTGCAACTTCCTAGCCTTTTTTGATCCTTTTAGGTTTTTCAATGAAAGATGTTCGAAGTATTTTGTGAGGGAGAGTTTGTTTATGAACATGAGAACTTGGAAAAAAATGGAAACCTGGAGTACAAGATGGCGCGTTGCAGTTTAAAAGATCACACCTTCGCGTATCTCCAGTGAAGGTCATTCTATCAACGTGCACTTTTTGAAGAGCGTCTCGGTCAACAATATGTCACATGCGTTTAAATGCTGTAGTTATCAGCCTTCTAGCTCTAGAAAAAGCCGTGTCACGAAGGCGTTTAAATATTGGTGGAGTCATTCCTCATTTGACTTTAGGCACCCAATCTCAAGTCGCTTATTTGATTTATATACGGAATACTGAACTGCTCAAAAACTCCATCTCCATGCAGCGTTTTTGCACCATGTTCAAGATGAATGATACAATTAACGGTTGTGGATCGAAACGTGGCAGAACTACTTTATGTCAAAAATGTCGAGGCTTGCACTTTCCCATTCTCGCTGAAATCAGGACCGAGAGTCTAGTTTCCCCATTATTAATGCTTGCTCCACGACTATCACAGCACCATAAATAAGTGATCTACCGCTAAATATTCGCAAGTACAAAAAGATCAGTATGGAACAATGTTTCTGTCCATGAATTACGCATACGCTTAATGGTGCCTAGAACCGGTATTCTGTGTGTCACAACCTCTATGATATTGCAGACGATTTCATAGACATTTGCTTGTATCTTACTCATGCGCTTCGGCATATTTGAAGAAAACATTACAATACTCTGTCGTTGATCGTACATAAATATAGGGCATGGCTGCCCAGTTTGTGATCTCCATCAATCTGCTTTGATGTTGTACTTTAATAGTTCTTTTCCTTGATGTACTGCGTAAGTGTTGGAGTTTGCTGAAGTCATTTGACTCCCGAATGTTCAAACTACTTGCGATCTTCAAAGACCCTATACATAGGGCACCTTTTTTGACACTTGATCGAAACGACTTCGCCGAATACGTGAGCGTGCACTGCTCCGTTCCTTGTATGTATGTATGTAGCAGGTCTAATACTGTCCCTTACTCTGCTGTTCTCAATTCTTTGTCAACTTCTAGCCGCATACGCTTTTCTCGCTCTTTACGAATTTTTTCGTCTTTTTTTTTCCTGTTTCGCTATAATTCGTCTATCCGGATCATTGATGCGTCCGATTCTCTATAGGCAATTTTCCACGAACGCCTCTTGTTGATCTAGAAAATTTCTATATTGCCTCTATGGAAAATAATTTTATCGCGTTGTCTCCTGTTGTTATAGCTTATTGACCAGCTGTAAAAGCGAGAATGATTATATAAATGAAAATAAGCTACTCCGCCTCAGTATTGCTTTGTATCACTTGTGATAAAGTTTGCGTGAACAAAATCCAGTTCCCTCTTCGCATGTTTTTGTACTGATTCAACACCGTTTATGTTTCCACTTTCTCAGTGTAGTTATGATCAGAATGAAATAATCAGTATTGTTTATCTGTCTCACTCTCTATATATCTCTCTTCTATGACTGTATATGCGAGGCATTCTATTTATGATCGCCTATTATCTTTTTGTGTATTTTCCAGTTTGCTATCATTAGAGTTGATAGATGTTTTGAGTGGCGTTCAGTATGAAAAAAAAAACCTTCTCCTTAGGCTTCAGATGAGCCCAAAGAAGTAAGGGGAAATTTATTGAGTGTCTTTCACAGCACCTCACATCTAGAATATCTAGGACGAGTGCTGCTCTCGAAATTTGTTCATAGTGGCTTCTACTCTGAATTATCCAGCTTCGGCAAGATCTGGCACCAGGGAAACTTCCTACGAAATCCTCTGTAGCCCTAAAATCTAAACGTGAAAAAACCTCAAAAAACGAAACGTCGACTAAAAAACGTCGCAGTTTCTGTACCTTTTCGGGCGCAGAAAACGATATCCCCTTTGCTTTTTGTCCCAAAAAAGATATACAGCTTAACCCGGTGCCATCTGTGCCGACCCCTGCTGTGAATCACAGCAACAGGACGTTACAAGTAAAAATTTTCTAACTGTAATGCATACTCTTTAGCTTATTCTCCGATCACTATAAAGATTAAATCGCTTATCAGTGGATTCTGACTCCCACCATTGTATATATATAGGAGGGCATGCTTGTTTTCGAACGTTGATGCTTGCGTTTGAAAGAGTCTCTGCTTGAGTCATTTTCAGATTATTCTTGAAAGGAATGGCAACTAAAAGTCTAGACACTGATCGTGGAACTGCGGCATTTCCACATTTTAGTCCAAAATACAAATGCTGCTGTGATACTATACATGTTAAGGTAGTGAGTCCGATCTCTTTAGAGGTTTGCATTAAATCGCGACTTATTTTCTTTCTAGCAAGGAACATTGATGATTTCCGTTGTTACTGCTATTATCAAAGTGGTGGAACTTCTGCATGCAGTGATTTCTTTTTCTGAAGAACATCTTCTGTTATCAAGTTTTTACGTAAGTTGGAATGTATATTACAGTATTATTTTGAAATTGTGTTTTTTGTGAAGATTGTGCATGTGTTAACGGAGATCATCTGCGTCGTGTTGCTTTTCGTTGCAGTTCTGAAGGACAGAAAGCGTTTTCTTTTACCTTTCCTCTTCATACAGGTTGGTTTGTTCACTTTACAGGGTGTCCCAAAAGTCCTTAAGCCTAACTTTTCAACGTAGTAACTTTGTTAGTATTCCTCGCTTTTCAGCCAAATTTTGCCTTTGAGTTCTTCGTCTAGTTGCCAATATTCGTCAAGAAAATCATACCGTTTACAGTGTACATTCTCGAGATATACTTCTTGAAGCGAACAATACTACAATCGTGAAGACAAGCCGAAGGAAACGCACCTTCTATTTTAAATATTTACAGCTCTTTTGCCTTTGGTACTCTTATGGACTTTCAAACTGCATATTGTAGAGCTAGCTTCACTCTACATTTACAGTGCAAAATCAATCAATAGCCTTCGTTTATTAGAGTAGGATTAGGATACAAACACTGAAGTTGTGCCGTGCCAATGAGAAGGAAAAGTTCTCGGAAACAAAAACCTGGAAAAGCTGGAAAGTCCAGCACCGAATCAGCTTCAGTCACTAATTCTAGCTGTAAGCCCTGCATTTCCTACTGAAATACCACTTTAAAGTCACTCCCGGTACACCATAATGGCTGTTTTCTTGGTGTTCTCAAACACTTGAATGCTACATTTTGACACTTTTGTCAAATCTCACAGTTATGCTTCCCAGATTTACGTGCCTTCAATAGCCGGGTCAAGAGGCCCTTGACTTTTCTTTGTGATCAGTAATGGAAAACAAGGTTTGCTCTATTCCATGCTAAATTTCGGACAGTCTGGATTGCTTGCTTCAGAAGATGTGAGACAATCTCGATGTCATCTACCTGGCTGCCATGGTGCATGCATTCCGCAAGTGTCTGAGAGCCTGTGTAAAGGCCAAAGGAGGGTTTCAAGAAATCTGAGTGTATCATGTTGTTTTGTAGGCTCTTCGCAAATTCTCTGCTGAATTTCATGCTTCTATGTTGCTTCATGCATTTTCAGCGGAGGAAATACTAGGCTCAAAGACTTTTGGGACGCCCTTTATAAAACGACTCGTTTAGTATATTATTTAAAAGTGGCCGTCTGAAACACTGTTTTCGAGTCTGGAATGAGGAGGCCTGATGTTGGCCACGCCTTCTGAAAAAAAAAAGGGTGCCTTTCAATTTTCGCGGGCCTATAACCTCGAATTCCTGACTGACTAGAAAAAAGGAGGCGCGTCGCAGCCACGCCCTCGCAAATTTTGAAAAGGCTATTTTATATTTTTGAAACTTTTCAAAAACTTTGATTCTTTACTAGTACAAACAAGCCGCTTGTATATTTTTAACACATGTAAGTAACTCTGAGATTTCGCTACCCATTTTTGGGCGGCCCCCTCTCTCTCCCCTTCCCCCCTTCTCCCCTCCCCCCCCTCATCTTTGTCAGATGTCTTGGCAAAGGTGACTCACAATCAGAGCGTCTCAGCAGATGCCCTACACAGTTCTAGCGGGTGTCTTAATTTTGCCAACCCATGCGGTTAAATATGGACAAGCCTTACTGCAAGTCTGCTCCACATTTCGTCCCTTTTCTGACCAGGTTCTAGGATGTGCATATATTGAAAAAGAGCCAGTCGCAAAGAGAACCTGGGCTAGCAGGATCCTTGCGCATAACTCTCTGCACTAGAAGTACTATAAAGAAAGGAATGGCGCGTCGAAGTTGCTAAGAGTTACTCCTGCTTACGAGATAGGAACTTTGACAACCATGCTTGAATGATATCTTTGTAAGGATGGATGCACCAGGCATCGAAACAATTAGTTTTCCTGACTGACTCGCTTGTACACTGATTTCCGTTCAAGGGCTGTTAGAACAGTGCGATGTGCAGTGATTCGCGCACCCTCTGATTTATTTATCCTGCAGTTGAACACAATTGATAAACATTAAAAAAATGTTTTGATAGCCAATCTGAAGAGTCTGATCGCAAGAGCGTTCAAGATGTTACCTAGCCCATGTTCTTCAGTCATCATAGATGAAGACTCAGTTTGTTCGCCGCAAAATAGGTGATCATATTGCAGTGGTAGTGGAGAAATTTGTGCAGAGAGTAGAAATGGCTCTAACTGTAACGTTCCAGCTCCTCTCTAACATGCTTTGGATTGGCTACTCACTAAGTTTTTCTCTGAAAGTGGCGATACAATCCTCCTTCTTGCAAAGCACCGAGAGGCTGGTAGCTGACCAAACTTCATAGCAGATCAAGAAAATACGTATTTGAATGGTACTGAATAATCGTTTTGCGTAGGGCCTACATTCAGCTGCAAGTGTCTCAATCAGAATAGAGGTGTCCTTACTATTCATCTTCAAAATCATGTTTCAATTCTGCAAGTCCCACTTTGCGCATGAAAAGAGTTGCCCATGATGTGAATCCAAGCCAGTTTTTTATTCACATAGTTTGTTAGGAAATGGCTCAGTATGACCATTTTGGTTCATTTTTCGAAGTAAAGCTCAAAAAGGTCCAATTCTAAACAAACCGGATGTTTTACGTTGGGCGTGCATAATTTGCTCATTTTCAGGTTTTCAGCGTGCTAGTCTATCTTGTAGTTGCCCTGCTTTGCACATGGACCGCAGTCGACACCGATAATTTTACTGGAAACTTTTTCAAGGTATATCACTTATGAGAATATTTATTGACTAAGGTGCTCTGATATGTTCAAGATTTTCATCATATCGAGAATTTTTTGACAGTGTTATCGCTTTTAAGGCTACTAAGCAAATGGGTTGTATATGCTGGCAAAAAGCATATCCGTTTTGAGTCTAACGCGGTTCGGATATAATTGCGAAAGGTGCAACTTTTCATAAAATATTTTTTTCCCAAAAATTTCACTTGTATAATGCATGGGGTTTTTTTTTTCTAGAAATCGACCAGCCCAAACATGTTAAAGGACTTCGCGAGTAAAGGATTATATAGCGAGCTGCGTATTGCTTGAAAGAATCCTGCAGCAAAATTGCTTGCCGTAACGCGGTGAAACGTTGAGCAGCTCGCTCAAAAAAGAAGAAGGTGCGCTTTGTGCGCGTGAAATTAGAGTATTAAGAAAAACAGGGACACGACTAGGCAGCGTTGATCACGTACGCTGGGATTTGTTTTCGGTGTGAACAGGAAAGGATTCTACGGCATATGTGGGGAAGATCTGGACTAAGAAAAAATCACATTTTGATTGCGAAGTACGAATAGCTTTTGGCTAAAGATCTAAATGATGAACAAATGCGCTAATGTAGCTTACAAGCGAACCATGTTTAGTCGAATTGGCCTTTTTTAGATGAGATGAATACCGTAGGAGAAAATGCTGTTTCCAAATCTGCCTTCTTTATTTGCCGAACATCTATGGTCGAGAAGTTTTGAGAGCTTTTTGAGGCAAAAAGGAAAAATTTAAGACAAAATGAGTTGCTAATTTTCCTAGCCCCCAAATGAAACAAGCAAGTGTAGTATATTTTTATTTGAGAATATTTAAAATAAGGTGCTCTGATAATCATCAACTACTCCATTAAAGAGCTTGAAAGAAAAACGACAATTTTTGTCCTACCTATTTGCACATATATTTTTTTGCTCCAATACAAACTCATAACTCCTCGTTAATAAACGTTCCGCAGATGATGAAGGCAGATTTGGAATCAGCGCTTTATGCTCTCCAATAAGATATACATCCCATCTGAAAAGCCACTTCGATCAAATATGTTTCCCTGGTTAAATCTTATATATAAAGCTGAATGTCTGTTTGTATGTATGTCTGTATGTATGTCTGTGTGTACGTATGTTCCGAATAGAAAATTCCATTTCTGAACCGATCCGGACCAAACTTGGCACACATACACTTCGGGCCCCGGCGGGTGTCATAGGCTACTTTTCGTCATCGATCGATATCGATTTTATCGATTTTTATCGATTTTTTTGCTGAGTTCACCTACGGGGCTGGGAGTTAGCACAGGGGGGTAATCGAGCATGGGGATTCCGAATACAATATTGGTTTTCAGGATTATCGATTATTTTTATCGATTTTATCGATTTTTTTGCAAAGTTTGAGCTACGGGGCTGGGAGTTGGCACAGGGGGGTAATCGAGCATGGGGATTCCGAATACAATATTGGTTTTCAGGATTATCGATTACTTTTATCGATTTTATCGAGTTTTTTGCAAAGTTTGAGCTACGGGGCTGGGAGTTCGCACAGGGGGGTAATCGAGCATGGGGATTCCGAATACAATATTGGTTTTCGGGATTATCGATTACTTTTATCGATTTTATCGATTTTATTGCAAAGTTTGAGCTAGGGGGCTGGGAGTTGGCACAGGGGGGTAATCGAGCATGCTGATCATCCCCAAGGGGGGTGATCAGCATGCTCGATTACACCCCTGTGCCAAATTCCAGCCCTCTAGCTCAAATTTTCAAAAAATCGATAAAATCGATAAAAGTAATGGACGATCCTGAAAACTAATATTGTGTTCGTAATCAGCATGCTCGATTACCCCCCTGTGCAAAATCCCAGCCTCGCATGTCAAAATTTACAAAAAATCGATAAAATCAATAAAAGTAATCGATAATTCTGAAAACTAATTTGTATTCGGAATCCCCTTGCTCACTTCCCCCCTGTGCCAACTCCTAGCCCTGTAGGTGAACTCTGCAAAAAAATCGATAAAAATCGGTAAAATCGGCATCGATCGATAACGAAAAGTGGACTGTGACACCCGCCGGGGCCCGAAGTGTATGTGTGCCAAGTTTGGTCCGGATACGGCGGAGCCGGGTAAGCCAGCTAGTCGATACATAATCGTAAAGTAATAATACTTTGAAAAGTGACTCAAGAAGAAAAATGCAAGGTTTTCGTGTCCCAAAATGATGTCTTTTCCAAAATGCCAAAAACCAGCTCGTTCGCACCCGCAAATTGAATGCGAACTCATACTTCAGGTTTGCATGCATTTGATGCAGCATTACGCTATCTACAGTAATTTGAATACTACCATCAGTGTTTTTTTATAAGGGACGATATTTCAGAAAGAGTTCATGAGCCCAGAGGAAATTGAGATAGAAAAAACGCATCCAGAAATGGCAGGAACAACGCGTTAGTTTACCATCAACTATCTTTCTTTGCATGAACCAACACCGAATTATTCGGAAATTTGCTGACCAATCTTTCGCTGACCTCAAAAATTTAGTTGTTCGGCTGTGGGCCATCTATGCAGCAACAGTGTTTATTCTGCTTCTGTGCCTGACTTTGTGGTTTCTATTCGTTGTGTACAGGTGAGTGGACTTCGTCATAGATTGTCTGCTGCAACGAACTCTATTCCACTTTCATGAGAAAGTCAATTGTCAAAGCTTCGCTGGTTTGTGTGCATGATATTAACACATTTTACCTACACTTTTTGGAAAAATGCTTACAAGGGTCAGAAGTCGAAGTGGCCAATCCAAAAAACTGCATACCACTCGATGCAACTTAGAGAGCTGATTTCAAATCTCTTTTCTATATCTGCAGAGCGCCTTTGTAAGTGAAGTTATGACCAGCTTTAGTGCGAAAAAATCGTACATAAAAATTGCGAGATTAGGCACATTTTTGCCCTTTCCGCTCACCTTTAGGTACGGCCATATGAAGTGACCTAGCTGCATGTTTTGGTCTAGCATTGAGGCAGGGTTGGCTCTGTACGGCCAAGTTTGCCCTTTACACACACAATTTCTTAGCAAAATAATGACTTTTAACGGCTTATAATTCCATCCACAAAAGTGGTCTGCAGATAAGAAAGACAGATTTGGAGTCGGTGTTTTATGCTGCATTCAATGGTATGCAGCTTGCTTGAATTGGCCACTTCGATTTCTGACCATTCCCTTGTTAGCTGTCATGCCTGAAGTTCTAAGTTTCCATGCTTTGGGACTTTAGGCCTATCACAAATAAGCTCAAAAATTGAACGATTTCAACTTTTTTCTTTCTCTCTGCAGAGCTCTTTTGTTGCTTTTCTATGCGCACATAAATTACTGTCTTGTCTCTACAAAATTCTGACTAGCATCCATCACGACGTAGCGTATAGGGAGCTGAAACCTCTTAAAAACAATATTTTCAAAAAAGAAACCTCGGGTTTTTTCGGTGCATGGTTTCCTACCCGTTTGTGATATCAATATGCGCAGTGCGCTTAGTTAAGAAAATTTGCTGCTTCTGATGGTCTTCACCGCTTTCAAATTATAAAGACGACAAATATGCCAGTCGTACTACCCCGCTTCAAGCCAAGACATCCTGAGGTAAAGCTGAAATCTTTTCTCAGTAGTGATGATACTAGGTTAAAATACTGATACTTACACTTTATAAACGTACCGTTTTGACCCGCTCATAGTTGGCGTGTAAGATTAGTCTCCAGTGAGGCTCATCAAGATTCGAGAACAATCGAATACATTTATTGTCTTTTAAGTATTCCTAGCCATTTGAATACTTCGTATATAGTTGTCGAAAATGAATCAATCACCTTCGGTCTGATTTTGAAACTTTCTTTTCCAAGTCCTCTCATTAGGAAAGTGCCACCAGCAAATGGGCAAGTGAGATGAGCGTTTTCTAAAAAGACCTGCTTTTTTTATCATACTTTACACAAACCCTAAAAAAACCAAAAAATGCGGACTAACTTACTATAAAGGCTAATACGTGAAAGTGAGATATCAGGCTTCAAATACTTACTAACGGCTATGATTTTATACTCTTTGGGTCTTCGTAGAATGATACGACAACCGCAATGATCTATTATTCAAGCCGCAATTCTCTGCGCGCCTGAATGAAAGTTCCAGCCAAGCATTTTCTACCTTCAGCGTCAGAATAGCTCGGAAAACCTGCGAGATGTATGGGAAGAATGTTATGGCTTAAGTAGGCTGCCTGAGACTGTTAAGCTTGAAGAAGGTCTCCTTTCAGGCGTCTCTCCACATTAGCCCTAACTACCGAAAAATCCTGCAATTAGCAGAAATGGTCTGCGGTTTAAAATCACCAAGTTTGATGTTATCTACAAAATTCCAAAATATAGGAAATGTCGGCGCGACAAAGTCCTGCTCCGCCGATTTTAAAGAGAATATCAAACAGTCGGTGGAAAGAAGAAACTAGCATGAGTGACGTACCTGCATGAGAGAACAATCATTGTTTGTTTCAACTCATTTGTATGAATTTTACCATGAAAAATGGGAAATTCAGAGAAAAAATGGTGGAAGTGTTCTTCTGCCTTCTTGTTTCAGTTTCAGAACGGAAATTTCATAAAACTCAATTCATTTGGATAATGATGGGATATTTACGAAAAGGACTTGAAGCTCTAAGTGCATTTGAGCAATTTGCCAAATATTTCCAAATTATTGAGGAAGCTGGCTTTTGGTCACACCTTGGACATTTTTTCTGCTTAATACCCATCCGAAGGATTATATTCTACCGTTCTGGACTTTACACAAAATCTTTTGTTTCTCGTGCAGCTAGCCGCTCATTGGATTCATATGGTTTGAGTCTAAATAGGTCAAGACATACTGATTGTGATACTTATTCAATTCTCATCTTAATCAGTAATATATCTTTTCAACGAAAATATGACGTTTTGGTGAATCAAATCTGCATTGAATGCGCGATAACTTAGATGATATATATAAATCCCTAGAAAAGAATTCAAAGTAAGCTTGTATCGGAGTTCATTGTTATATTATTTACATAAAATCAAAAGGATTTGACTCATGCTATCTCTCAGCGGCACGTTAGTTAATCATCCCTCGAGGCCACATGTCTTTATAAAAGTTGTCATGATTTTAGGTGTTATCAATACTACACTGACATGGAAAAACATCGGGAACCATTTGACACGGCAGTCTCGTATAACGCCCAGCAAGGAACTCTTGTTCAATGAATGAAACTGCATGTATATAAGCCTTCCATAGGCTAATAATAACAATATTCCTGACAGACATAATTTATCACCAAGTGATAATTAGTTTTAATTCTAGTGAAAACTATATTTGTTACTTTCTCTCACTTGAATTACTGGTATTGTTTTGATGTTTCTGTGCTGCACTGCTTTTCACTTTTGTCGTTCTGTCGATCTCTTGAGAATTCTGTACCAATAGATTAATAAAAGCAAATATGAGTAGTTTGCAATTTCTAGCAAACTGTTTATTGCAACAGAGTGCTAAATGCTTATTTGTTGTTATCGAATGGTAGTGTTTATGTGTGTTTCGTTGTGATTTTGTGCAATTTCGGATAGTGCCACAGAAAGCAGTGCTCCGGCAAGCCTCTTGCCGGCAAATTGTACACAAGAAAGACTACATTTTTGTAATGTCAGTGCTTGCCTTATCTAAACGTAGACGACTTGACTATACAAAAGCAGAGAAAGGCTATGTACTCCTGTAGATTTGTGCATTTTGGGACATAGCTTCTATGTCTGATGAGCGTTTGTGAAAGTATGGTCTTACATAGTCTTGTTAGTGACTTTTTCAGGAAATTTGTGCAACCAAGTGAACACAGCTACTCAAATCGGAAGGATCATCAACTAGTACCAGTAAGTTTTGGCAGATGGCCTAAGCATTTCACACAAACTCCGTGCTAGGTCGTTAGGTGACTGATGAAGCATATGCGCACAATTTCGAGTCTCACTATGTTTTTAGCTGCTCTTTGATCGACAAATGCAAACTCGGCATGCATATGATTCGAAGGTTTTTCAGTGGTTTACAATATATGCGTATTTCATTCAAAAATTTTATCTCTGAGTAGTATCTCTTCAACTATATTTACTGGTGTAGGGTTCCAGTAAGTAAGAGAAAAGAATAGAGTGTAAACAGTGCTGCAGAGTTTTTGTCTTGGCACCCACTGTAGGTTGCTTGAGTATTGCATATATTTTATGCACCGGAGCTCTTCAATGACCAAACAGTTCAATTCAGATTGGACAAGCATCTTTCTAAATTGACGCTGATATAAGAAACCACTTCATTTTTGAATTTGACAACCTCTGATAATTTCATTTGCTGGGAAACTGGGGTAATGGGTTGTATAGTTCAGGTTGTGATTATTTGATCAATTATCCATACCGAGGATTGGACACATTTGATCAGACGTATTTAACCGGTCAAAATATGGCAAAATATGGTTCTAGACGACCGATATCAGTTTTTCTTTCAATGTTCTCAGAGTAAAGCAGTTTTTCCCAAATTTCTAAGTTTTATGTGGTTATATCAAATTCGAGCTTCGTATGGAACTAATATCCAAGATACGTATTCGATTTCTATTCTTCTTAGAACGAAGTGTTGGGCGAATATGTATGTGCTAATGTACTACTGACCTTTCTCAGCACAAATGCATGCTTGGATCCTCAGCGGACTGCAGCTTTTAGGTTCCACTTAATGAAAAAACTTCTTTAAATTTAATGGTTTGGTGAAAATTGTAGGAGCATCTGTTTGAGTGACAAAAAATTCTTCCTTGTGTAATGTTACTAAACAGTCAAAGGAAGGGACTGTTCTCTTATTTTATGGCATGATCGAGTCCTGTAAGAAGAAGCATGACACTGCTATTTAGATATTTGAAAATTTTGCTTTCTTTCTACCTATGTACATTAACCAAATCTGAGAATTAAAACGGAGTGTTCATGTCATATTATAGGTTCTAATGAAGATCGTAATCCGACAAAGCTTTTGGCGATCACAGCCAAAGGGTCGCGCTTATTATGATTCAGCTCATTCCCCCCAATCAAAGAAGTTATTCCTACACATTTTAAAACAGAGTTTAGCGATGTGATGAGCCTGCCAATGCAATACAGTGAGCTCACGAAATTTGACAGCAAAAGTTATTCTTTTCTTTGGCATTCGTTACAGCCACGCTTTCAAAAAAAAAGACAAGTAAGCGATAGTTTTCCCACAGAGTCTTTGAGCATGAAGCGGGAGGAGCAAGCGTATTAGTTGTGTGAAGTTTTCCATCAGCCAAGATCTTTCCATATTCTAGAAGCTTTGGAGAATATTCTTATACGAAAAATTACGATATCTTGATAGACACATAGATAGTATGAGATTTATTATAGTGAAAATGCACAGCAACAATGACAAAACAACCCGCATTTGAATTTTAGCGAAGTGCAACAAACACTTTTCATGAACAGTATATGACATTTGATTTACAATTCACAGGTTTAGGACACTAGCATAAAGACAGCTCTCCACAGTGGCGAGTATGAGCATATATGTACATAAACGACAATTCATTATTTAGCAAAAAAATTTGTTTTCATGGAATTGGCACCCTGGTAAATGATACAAAGAGCTATGTAGAAAGCGATTTTTTGTCCTTCTGCAAGAAACAACAAAACCGACTCTGAAATCATTGGTCGAACTAGGTGGCTGATCATTTCATCAGCCGTCAACAAGGGTTTGGGATAACCACGCAGAAGCTACACAAGATTATATTGAATTGGCAGATTAGACCTGATTCGCATAATAAGCGGATCTTTCTGAATACTGACATGAAGGATAGGCGGTGGCAGAGAAAGTATGAGCATAGGATGAGTTTTGCATGGCATAATTTCCGTAGTATGAACAAACTCCTAACTCAGTGCCCTCATATGGCGGGGATTGATGAGAGACATCTGAGGTCCAGTAGGAAGGGTGTGTCTAAAATGACAAATGGCATAGAAGAACCTTCCGAGAATAAATGATCCTAACATACCATGGGTAGTGAACCAGGAGAAAATCCATCATTTCCGCTACTTGTACGATCGCTGGAAGGCGAGTCTAAAACTGAGGCTGTGGGTCTCGACGAAGGACCGTACGTTGTAGTGTGAGGCGAAGGTGTCGATCCACAGCCATCAGAATGTGGTGGTGTTAGCGGCTGTGGCTTCCGCTTGACAGGAATCCGCTGAAACATCTTGAATAAATCGTAGGAATAAGGATCTTAAACATGCAAATTGCGTACCTTAACCTGACGGTTGCTGTTTTTTACGGAGTTTTTTCCTATGGCCATATGCAGCGGGACACTAGTTTTGTTCTCTTCGGAATCCAGAACCTCCAAAACATTTCTGAACTCATTCTCCTCTGCTACTTTGTAAGGAGTGCGATCCTAGAATTGCAATCATTTATTTCGAGAGTGAATTTTGTTCGAATTCAATACCTTCTGATCAGTTATTTCCAGAGATGCTCCAGCTTTGACGAGCGCTTGCACTGCCTCGACATGCCCATGGGATGCAGCAAGAAACAGCGGAGTTCGATCCTAAACGGAAATAGGCTTCAAACTGAGTATACTACAAGTAAGTGTATGCTAACCTCCAGGTCTTGCGCATCCTTGTTCGCGTCTTTACTTATGAGAAATTCTATCATTTGAACGTTGTTCACTTGTGCAGCATAATGCAGTGCGGTACGTCCGTTATAGGATAGAGCGCTCTACACAAAGAATAATATCTCCTATTTTTATTCTTAAAATTGTGAAATGCACCTTGTCTCCAGGATATGATGGATCGGCCCCCATTCGAATTAAAAGTGATGCCACTTGATGATCTACAGTGTCATTTGCAGCGCATCTCATAAGAGGAGTGCGATCGTTGTTGTCGCAGACATCAATCTAAAGGTAAAAGTGTTGATTCAGTTTAGGGAAATACTTCAAAGTTTCTTACCTCTTTGACTACAGAATTATGTTTTAGGAGCTCTTCGACCATTCTCAAATTGCAATTGGCTGCAGCTTCATGCAAACACGTGGAATCGTTCCTATTCATAATCGTGGGATCAGCACCCATCTCCAAAAGCTGCTTTACAAGAGCTAGTCGACCTCTCCGAACAGCTATGAATATTGCAGTCTCCTCATCTGCAATTCTGTTTATTGATTTTGGATGAAATGTAAGATTTAGTTCTGCTCACCATCATCCTGCAAATTGAGATCTCCACCAGCGTTACAGATCTTTTTCGCCTCTTCAACCAGCTGAGTCTCGGTCTTTTCTGAATTGTCGCACAGCATCATCAGCGCTGTCCTTCCGAAAGGACCACGCACATTTACTGTGGACTGCTCGACTTCGATAGGTGTGCTGGACGAGGCTTGTTCGTGAAGAAGTGTTGGCGGTGGGTGGACTTTTTTGGTGGGCTTCAGTTCCACTCTGGGATATCTATAGTGGCTAATTAGTATCGTGATAAGGTTCAAGAGGTCAAAACGACTTACTTGTTTGAGTGCAAGGTAGTGAAGGGGTCGGAATCGTAGAAATTTAAATTATCCAGTCGCGGACGTTTTGATCCAAAGAGATGGTCGGAGTAGAATCCAGCTCGCAACATTTGTTCACTTTGTGACAGGGAAGCAAGTTTATCTAAACCATTTTGAGAGATAATCATGTCCAAGTTTCTATGTACTGAATTCAAGTCTTACTCTGAGCTTCGGTGGGAGGAATCCAGCAAGGAGCTTTGATAGTGCGACGCTTTCTTGTTCTTTGCTGTAGCACAAACACAGAAGCGATGACAATTAAAATAGCGAAACAGCCGATGATGAATGCCCAATATCCGTCGGAATGCGGAAGGGGTACGGTAGAATTTGGATGTCGAGCGATCGCTTCGTAGATGGGCATGCCCATTTCCGACAAATCCTAGAAAAATCATCCGTTATGAATGCTACAAAATTACTTCTGCGCTACCTTCTTAGCACTAGCTGCTCCAAGATAGTTCGCAACAGTATCCACGTTACTAAAACAATCCCCGTGACAGCCAGAAACGTCGACTTCAATCCAGACCAGCACACCGACATTCGAAACAGAACGTTTCAGACGAATTTCGCCTCCGAATTGTACGAACAAACGCTGTAAACATTCATTTCTTAGCTGTTAGCTTTGTTAAATGTATATTCTCACGATCGTGGGAAAAGTCATTTACCTGATCTTTGGGGAGAGCGATTCGCTTGGGAGACGGTTTGCCATTCCAGTGAAAAACAAGTGGTCCATCGTCGTCGGTCTTAATTCGAACTGACGCACGAAGTTTTTGACTCAGAGTGAGGAGGAACATTCCCACATTCCTTGCAAATTCTTCGGGAGTAGTTAGGACGACTAAGGATATGTCACCAGAAAGCTGGAAGAGTAGTTTTTTCTTATATGAAAAACAGGCGCAGTTCTCAGCTGACCAACCGAAGTATGTTTCTCTGTGGAGCAATCGCCGCCATCAAATGCGCATCCGGGCAGATCGCACTGGTTGTCGCAAACTCCGTCAGCGTAGTGTGAGCGACAGTAATCCACAACCTGTGGAGGGCAACGGGGAGTGGTCGGAACGCAGTCGAATCCATCAAATAGGCACGCTTCATTGTTACAAATCTGGAAAATTCGAGGCTAATTGACGGTGTTGATGACAAATATCTTTTCCCCGAAGAAAAAGCTACTCACAGAGTCACATCGTCCATCCTTGAACACATGGGCGCAGTAGCTGGCGGCACTGCAGTTTGCAAAGGGGTCTGGCTCTCGTGCCGAACAGTCACCACCGTCGAAACCACAAGCGTAGAAGTTACATTCAGAATCGCATTTGCCATTACCGGCCTTGGAAGTGCAACCGGCAAGGGCGCAAAGATTACGTTCCATCCTGAAAATGTCACTTTCAATGAAAGCATGTACTCTACAATGGTTTGTCAGGCACTTGTCATCAGAGAACTAGAACCCTACCTGTCTGTTTCGTTGAATTTGTCGAGGTCCACAAAAACTTGACAATTTCTACCGGTATAACCGCGAGGGCATTCACATTTGTAATCATCCATCCCATCGATGCATCTACCACCATTCAGGCAGAGTCTAAATTATCTTAATTTCTTATTTTGTTTTACTCTATACAAATTGTCTTGATTAAGAAATTATTACGGATATCTGTCTTTATCCATCTATAAACACCGTGTGTCAACTCTCATCTCTTCGGTAAACACTAGAAACAATGCCAAGTACCCTAACGTGAACAATAGCATTTAGTGCCACTTCAGATGTGAATATCACACCCCAGCGTGGCTGATGAGGCCATCACTAGTCTATAATTATACTTATAAGTACTAGGCTGAAGACACTCTTCGTATTGAGAAATGCTGAGTAAGTCCCACACTGATCACTTGCACTGATTCAACTCTTAGACGTGATTCCAGCATGAGGTCCGTTGAGATGTCACCTTCATGAATCTCTACGAAGTGACAAGGATGGGAAGAGACATCGTGTTCACGCAAACCCTCGGCAACCAGCTGGTTTTGATGCATGCACATCCTTGGAGCGGAAGTTGGTTCAGGATTCGTAATATGCATGTTCCCACGACCCCTCTCTCTTATCACTCAGGTCAACAGAGTGTTTTTTGTTAGGCGCGCCGCGTTTACGATAGTTAACTACACATACCGCGATCATTTTACGGTTGGTGTGAGAAACAAGTGGTGCCTGGTAGTTACGGATTACGGTGAGTCTAAATGAACGAACTCACCCAGGCCTGCAATCGTCGTCGTTAAAATGGCAGTCCCGGCCGCTGAATCCTCGCTTGCACAGACATTCGTAGCGATTTATTCCATCGACACATGTGGCGCCATTTAGACATGGATTTGAAGCGCAGTCATCTGCAAATTCGAGTTTTGTGGCAGCAAAATTTGATTTTGATGAACTTACCAATGTCGACACCACAGGTTCTGCCTGTGAAGCCAGGTTGACAGACGCATCGGAAATTTGCCAGCTCATCGAAGCAAGTGCCGTTGTTCAGACATGGATCTGAATTGCAGTTGTGTTAAAAGGCAAAATCGCCAAACAAATAGTGAGCTTACTCTTGGCACAATCGTCAATGTTTTCCAAACAATTCTTTCCGGTATAGCCTTCTGGACAAATGCAGTTATAGCTTCCATGAGTATTGCGACATACTCCACCGTTTCTGCAGGGTTGGTCTTTACATTCGTCAATATCCTAAAGTAAACTATCAGCTTTTGCGTGATTGCAATGCAGTTCCTACTCACAATTTCGCAAAATTTGCCCTCGAACCCAGGTTTGCACTCGCAAGTGTAATTTCTGTAGTTCGCGGTTGGTCTACATGTTGCTCCATTATCGCATCGATTGCGAGAACAAGGCTTCCTCTGTAGATGTAGTTCTTAGAATATTTGAGCTTAAAGCAAAGCACATCTCTATACCTTGTACTGGCATTTCTCTCCAAAGAAGGCAGCGGTACAGTGACAAATGCTGGCGCGAGCGGCATTGATACATTGTCCGTTGTTGAGACAAGGATTCGCTGCACAATGGTCGACGATCTTCTGAACAATGATGTGAATATCATAATGTTCCAGTGCCTTAACAAGCTACCAACCTCACAGTTTTTCCCACTATACCCGCTTGAGCAGCTGCAATGATAGTCATTGACTTTATCCGAGCATGTACCACCATGTTGGCAAGGATTAGCGGTGCACTCGTCAATTTCCCTTTGACAATCAAATCCGGTAAAACCAGGAGGGCACTCACAGCTTACAGCCCTGAAAAATTCGGGTTGATTGTGCAAGGTAGATTATTATGAAAAGCTTACTTTGTTTTGTTGTTTTCCACACATATTTGACCGAATGGGCACTTGGTCATCTCACATGCGCTCAGCTTTTTCTCGCAGAATTCTCCAGCAAAGCCCTGAAGCGAAAAAGCATAGTTCGTTTCAGGAAAAGTTAGTTCTAGTTGAGGAAAAGCTTTGCCTACCGTGGGGCATTCACATCCATTATTTCTGCACTGGCCGCCATTTTGACATCCATTCGCAAGACACGAGCACCGTTCACCCAATGGGCATTTTTCTGCACATGTTGGTCCAGTAAAACCTAAAAAATGTGTAGTAAATGCCCTGCATGGAAGTTATTTGAGTAGTTATTCCCGGACCTTCAGCGCAGGAACACTCGAAATGATTTAAGCGATCCACACAGATTCCATTGTTCAAACACGGATTGGGATCGCACATCTCCATCAGCGTATCACACGAAGCACCAGTTACTCCTGAACAATGATTTTTTTTGATTGAAGAATTCTGGACTGTGACTCTCACCTGCTGGACATTCACAAGTGTATCCACCAGCAACATTAACGCAAGTGGCACCGTTGTAGCAAATCGCTTCGCCCCATTCGGCACATTCATCGATGTCCTGATCGCAGTATAATCCCTAAATTGTCACTTGCTATGATTACGGTATCATTTTGGTGTGATGTAATCTACCGTATAACCGTGATCACATGCACATGTGTAGTTGCCAGTCGCTGGATCGCCAATACATCTTCCGTTAAGACAGGGCATATTGACACATGGATCATTATATTGACAAAAAGATCCTGAAAAAGGTCATGTGTGTGCCAGAGGATCTTAAGAGGCTTGAAACTTTACCAGTCCGTCCTGGAGGGCATTCACATCGGTAGGATCCTGTCAAATCTACACATGTAGCACCAGCTTCACATTTATTGTGAAGACAGTCATCCTTATTTATGCTGCATGTTTCTCCTAAAGAATACTTTAGTAGGACACGATAACGGTGCTTGATACCAATGATCACCTTCGAAAGCAGCGGTACATAAGCAGAGAAAGCCTCCATCGGTGTTGATGCATGTACCTCCATTCTGGCAAGAATTTGAGACCGCGCATTCGTCAACGTCTTTCTCGCAGTAAAGTCCTTGAATTAGATTGTAATCAATTTTTGGAAGCATAAATTATTCATGACAAACCTTGATACATCGGAGGGCAAACACATGTGTTGTTGTTTTTCTCTACCAAACAAAATCCACCATTTCTACAAGCATTCGGACCAGCTGGAGTGCATTCGAAACCACTTCGATACACTTGACAGTCACTTCCGATGAAACCAGCATCGCATTCACACCGATACGAGCCCATCTGGAACACATAACGTCGACAAGCGCGTCTCACCGGACATGTCCTACCAAATCGCTCTACGATGTGTCGGCAATTCATTGTATGTGTGTATGTGTGTGGTTTTGGTCTTGTAACTTTCTCAGAAGCAAAAAAACGCGCTGCGGTGCGCAATCAGTCGTAACGAATTGCGCATTTGTCCTCTCTCTCTCTTCTACTTTGCGCCTCATCCGACTGCCGCGTCATGTCTGCTGTGTGGGTGCTGCGTGTTACCGAAAGACAAAGAATTGTAAGCAGACAGAGCGCAGTGTGCACCGTTGCGTACACTGTTTTGTCTATGGATAAATGGCATTTCTGTGCTGAAAATGGGTAGGGGAACGTAGCAGTGATAAAGAGGCTTTGTCCGAGCTTCCGCACTTACCGTGTTCACACATCTTCCAAATGCACATGGAGATAGGTCACATTCGTTCACGTCTAGTTCACATCTTTTGCCATGGTAGCCGCGTGGACAGTCGCAGAAAAATTCGGTACCATTCGCTTTGCATTTGCCTTCGTGGTGACAGTAATCCCTTGGACATGGGTCTTTCTCGCTGCATTTTGGCCCTAGAAATAAAAGCTAATTCAATCCACTCTGTCCGTCTATCCTTGAAATTCTGCAATTTTTTCTCAGTTACTATTCCCTTTGAAGTTCGTAATCACAGTTCATCTGCGGCGCTCGTAAATGAACGTCTCATACATCGTCTCATGATAAAAGGTATGTACGAGCACGTACGAGTTTGTCTCACTTTCGAACGCCACAGTGCTGTTTCGAAGTTTTTGACAAATTGGTGGTCCGCAAGGCCACTTTTGACGGCTGATTGGCAAGAAAAGTGTGGGAATACATTGAGCGCCACCGAACTTACGTGTTATCTCCATCTTGTAGACAACACGGTACATGTACGGTAACACATTTAACCTGTTTCCCTATGGCTGACTTTCAGGGAATAAGGGCTCGAAGAGCGCGAACCTCCTGTCAGCCATAGCGTTTAAAACCACCAATGGCGCTATCAAATCGCGCCTGCTGTTATAAATGATGGTCGTTAGCAACTTTTGATGGAGATTTGTGACCTGGATCTGCGTAACGGATAGCACATGATTAACAACAGGGATTACGAAGTCGAAGTTGCATTTAGGACTTCGTTTGATAAGCTTGAGGCAAGATTCAATTTCTTTCTCCTCACATTGTTTCTTGCACTACTACTTTAGTGGAATAAAACGAATAGAGGGCTATATTTTGCTACTTTTAAAGATGGGCCAAGATGAAAAAAATTAGCTCGCACTTTCCGAGATAATTTGGTTTCAAATAATCCCCCTAGTTCTATATTGGAACTGTAATCATCATCAAACCTCCAGTCATAACCCCAGATGTAAGCAACTATCGGGTGCTAAATGTACTTCTCCCTACAGGAGGACACATCGCTACAAAACTTCAAAAAAGAACACCGCCTTGCCAAGAATCTTTTACTGTCGCGTCCCACATTAACACATAGTGATTGCTTTCGGGTAATACCAACTTACACGACATACGATAGATGAAGTGATAGATAGAATGGGAGTATGACATAAAAGCTTTCCGCCCAATTAGATATTGGCAGGATTTGGACGAGCAAAGAAACGGAGATGGAAAACCACAAGAGTGAAATTTTTCGCATTAAAAAGTTTTCCTTTTTAAATAGGATTAGAGTTTTGCCTCTCCGACCTTTCCGCTGCGACATACAGATATGCCATATTGGAGATGTATTGATGGGTGAAATAGGTAAAGAGTACAACTTTGATTGTGGCAAACTTCATTTCAACAAAAAGGAATGTCGTTCTCTTTCCAGATACTCTTCCCCCTGGAATGTTAGACGGTTAACAGCATCAAGAATTTCAAAGAATGTCAGCAGTAGTATTCATTTCAAATTGAAGGATTTTTGAATCGTTCCAAAGCTTTAGCAGTAATCCATCGTCGAAGTTTGGCAAGCATGAAATTTGCGGACAAAATTTCCCATCTTTAATAAGAAACACACAAAAGTTTAGCTTGGATCGTTCATGTGTTAAAATCGTCTATTCCGAGACCCGAAACGGGGATGAGGCAATGACAGTAAATCAGTCGGCTCGTAAAAAAGGAGAATAACCCACAGTGGTATGCGGCCCGAACGCGTTCCCAAAGAAAAAAGTGCGCACACCCCACATGCAACCGCAGAGAAGATGCATTTTCCGAGTTTGGCTTGTCTTGTGCAAGAAATGCGAACGTGTCCAAACACGCTGACACTAGCCCACGTCCGGACTTTAGGTTGTGTGGCCACCGCGACGAAAACGATGATGTGTTGGTGTGGTCTAATTTGAAATAGATGGAACACACGCGTCTTTCGTATGTAAATGCAGATGGTGAAGTTCAAACGTGGCCCGACGATCCTTTCAGTGACAGCCGACCACCGGTGAGGCACAACCGCGCAGACATCGTGTCTTGTACGGAACCGCCGACAGTGACGGCGAACGCCCCACAGCCTCTCTTGTATTTGAGTTTCGCAAACCTCGCCGAGGATTGTTATCATCATCGGGCATGAGATAGGCAAATATGACCATGCTTTCCGTCTTCGTCATCGTCTTCGGACATTGTCGTTATCGCAGAAAAACATGCACTTCATTGATTGGCAGTCTATCTGATCAGGGCTAAGGTACGGGATTCTATAGCGCATTAAAGAGCGCATTGGGATTGAAAGTTCGTTGGTAAAAAGTTCTAAGGTTTTCTTGAGGTAGAACTCACCAATCCAACCTTCAGCACAGATGCATTCGTAATCCTCCAGACTTGTGGAACACACGCATTCACCATGACTTCCACAAGGCGATTCCCGTTGACACACACTATCCAGCACCTGCTCGCAAAGATCGCCAGCAAACCCTGCAAAGGAATGAGTGAACTGTGCTTTCGGCGAGCGCATCATGAAATCCAACGGCAGCTGCTTTCTCAGACCCCCAGCGACATATGTTTTCCCATGTCATTCATATTCTAATTGAGTTGTACACTGAACAACCTGAGCGCAGTGGGCGAATTAGAATTGATACAAACAGAAAGCAGGAACACGCGGTCTCAGTAGAGCTTGAGACCTGGGGGATCTGCAAGGTCGCGCACAAAAAGGTGTCACTAAAGTGAGGAACAGCCATCTTGCGGTAAGTTGGATTTTGAAGCGAGTCTATGTCGGCAAACTTTTGAAGTCGGTTCGCGCAGCCAGCGCGATGCCGAATAAGAACTTGCAAAACAACCGTCTCATACAGGCCTTTGATGACTGACAGACTGCTGAACTACTGTCGATCCTTCCTACAGACTGCTGCTCCTACTCTGGGTCAGCGTAGTCTATAGGAGGCTAAGCACCACATGAATGCGCCATTCATTAGCCATTCGTTCACCCTTTCGCGCACAAGGCAGTGTATAAATCAACTCGCTACGGGAGACTGCTGCAGGACGAATTCGTTCATCCAGTGAGGAGGATCGTTTTTGCTTGCGTTGGGGAGGAAGATTGTTTGATAGAAGTTTGAAATCAAATGGCAATGCATCCCGCAAAAAGCGGCTACTCAAAGAGTACACCCAGCGAAGTGCAAGAAAAAATAGCGTGCTAGTTTGGGCACTTGCGATTTTTTTCCGATGACAAAACGCGACCTGGACGTTAACCACAATCCCCCTCGGCTACTAAACAAAGCCCCGCAACAAAAAGTGATAGATGAGTAAGCTCATGTGGATTGTCGCACTTGCCCCTCGCGCTCGTGCTGGCTCTCGTCCAAAAATCGCAACAAACTGATCGTATGAGTCAGAGCCCGAGTGCAGTCAGAAGCACTGGCGAGACGAAATGCACTGTTGAGAGGAGTGTGGACCGTCTGCACAGCCGTGGCTGTTCCCGCTCACGCAACAGTCACAATCTTTATTGTCACGTTGGTGTGACAAGTTCGCTGATTTACGGCAGATAACGATACAAGACGATTAGGCGATGCGCACGCATGGATGACCATAAATCCTAACCTGTGCTGTTGTACTCATAACAGAGGCAGAGGCTGTTGAGCTCAGCCAAAACATAACTCACCTAGTCGACATTTGCAGCTGGATGTACCATCGTCATGCGTAAGGCATGTACCACCGTTCTGACATCGTTTGCTACATGATGGCGTCTGGCAAGTGTCACCTTTGTAAGATGGTGTGCATCTGAAGGGGTTATGCTTTGGACATTGTTCTGGGACTGGTAATAATGAAAGAATCGAAGTTAGGAGAATTATGGAAGATGTTTTTGCGATAAAAGAAATCCGAAATTAATTATATGTTTGAGGCTTACTCCTTGCAATACTAAATTGTTGAAATATGATATAAAATCCTTGCGCTGCAGAACATTCTACCCAGCTACGGAGCTGTAATTTACGGTATTGCCTGAGGGGGTAAAGCGCATCTTTAACAATGACACCTTACGTAAGTGATCTGTACTGCTCTTACTGCCCTTGCATACATGAAGCTTAATTCAACACCTACTGCACTTATTCACTATGATACAATTTCCTGGTGTCGGCGCTTTCCGGCACTGCGCAAGCGACAAAGAGCGTGATTTGAATAGGACAGATGGCCACGCAACAGCGTGAGAACCTTAAGTTTTTGGTCGGGACACGGTATCATCTTGACCCCAGGGCATTTAATGGGCCAGAATTTCCATCTAGGGTAGCGAATATGTAAAGCTATTGAGAGCGCTCCGTATGCATAGTTGCGTAAGAGCAAGGAGTTTTGAAGAATAGGGGAGACGTTGCTTGCGGAATCGATAGCGGCTTGCGCAAGATGCTGCGATCAGAGATGAATTTGCATAATTCCAACACAAATAGCAAAAAAGATAGAAGTAATGAAGGTTGAGCATTTTGCAAGGATGAAAGAATTGCTGTAGATCGATATCGTTGCAGACTCTCTCGTGTATCAAGTGAATAAGGTTCGCATAACTGCCTGAGGAAAGATGCTATATGCTATGACATGATTGACTAGCCCAACATTCATAGAGACATCCAAGATGAATTTAGTAATTTCTACGAAGTAATGAAGTCGTCAAAATATTATCATAAATGATGCAATGAATAATGACCCTCAAAGGTACGGTATCTTATCAGAGGACACTGGGCGCACCAAAGCGAGAGGAAAAGGTGGTGTCACGCCTATTCAAGGTTACAACATGGATCAGATAAAGGCAGACGCTTAATTGCGTGAGAATTATCAAAGATTTTGAATAGGAGAGAAAATACAAAAGAATTGCCAACCTGCACCAATGGGTGGAATTTGGTCCAGGATAACATGTTCCTCCATTTTGACAGGAAAACGCAGAGCATGGACCTGAAGAGAATATGATGTAAAAGAGTAAAACTAGAATCGACCAGATGAAGAAGCAAACGATGATTCAGAGCCGACCTGATATGAATTTCGTATTCACTGCCATTGCGAAGACTAATAGGATACCAGCGTAGTCTGCGAGGCTCCACATTATCGTTGAGAAAACTAATGGTACTTTTTGGCGGTAGGTGACAAATAGCTAGCCGATCCTCATCAAATATTGGAGCAAATAATCTATTAAAATAAAAATAGAAAACGCGATACCGCAATGATCAAAATAAAATACGAAGGGAAACATCGCGCATTAACGGATTAGTCGTTGAAGATGAATGTTTAAACTTTTGAAATGAAATCAGTGCTTGACAAGTTGATGAAAAGAAAATCCCCTTCGGTAAGCGATGTTTTCGTCAATGATCACAAAAAGGATCGGCGAGTGGGCGGTCCAAGACACAGCACACTGTAGTCGTCGCCGGTGTGGGCGTGGCTGAACTGAACGTGGACAACCATACGCATGAACTGGCCCGCACTCAACTCAGCTGTCCGCAGTGTGACAGCCTTGGATGGCGTGGATGAAGAAGAAAAAGAAAAAAAAAGAGAAAGAAAGTGTAAAAAACGAGTATAAGATTGCAGTATGGCGAGAAGCCATCACAACAAACAGTACTTACTGCAGTTAGAATTTGCACTAATGCAAGATGAACCAAGATATTACAATGCTTGCGGTTTTTCCATTGACCAAAAAATCATCCGTGAGTTTACTGCTTTCTACTTCTATTTCAGAGTAACCACAACAAGCCAAGGTTTGATCGTAATGATTTCCAGGCAAATTATATATTTTTGCTCTGTGATAAAAAAGTCTTTTATTTTAAGATTTGGCAATTCAAATGTGATGAGACACTCCAAAATACGCTTGGTTTTTTGTACCTGGATTAACATAAAAGGCCCTCCCAATGAAGTGGCCAGATTATGCATTTTGCAGCTGTAAAAATAATAAATAGTCTATTTTTAGGTTTTCCTCATACTTGCTTATGAGCACGTTTTGGTGAAAAATATCTCTATAAACTCACAAAAATTTTCGCAAATTTCTCTGAAATTTCGTTTACATCGAAACACATGAGATCAGCTGCAAACATTACACCTTAAGCATTGACAATCTATGAACATAGTTCTTTTATGATCGAGGAGGGTTTCCTTTTGTTAGCACAGGAGAATGTCCCTGTAATTGTGTGCTCCATCTTATGACCAACCCGTTTGCACCTTTTCTCAAGCACTACTTTTACCGTGAGGTAATCTTTGCACATTAGCATTTTAGTCTAACATGATAAATCGACCGCGACGATGTAGGATCAAAACATTGCTAAATATCCGTTTTATGCTTTTTTTGAGCAAGATGTTTCGATCTAGCATTGATCCCGTGCGGAAATTCTGCGTGCTTATGAGACACGTTGAAACCCATCCATAAATACTCCTAATTCTAGTGAATAAGACGCAGGTGTATTCCAATAAGTACGCAATATTCTATGTGTGGAAAAGCTGTAGATATATAATCTACGAGGAATGTAAAATTCCTTTCAACAACACGAACCAAACAGCTTCAAAGACACTAACGAAACAATAACGAAGTATCGCAATACTATGCTGCATACACTCTGTCTCCGGTAGGTGACAAGTCAAGACAAAACAGAATGTACTTCGGAAGCAATGTGTGAATGAATCGTTTAGATGACTAATCAAATATTTGTCTCAAGTCAAATATAAACTATGCTGACAGGTCCAATACATTCAATGTTGCATGCCTGACAAGAAACGGCAAGAAAAAAGAACAAGCACTATCGCAGTAGGATTGTTGTGATATTCGATTTCTTGACGTGTTTGTGCTTGAAAGGGCGCGAAAAAAAATTTAAGGAAATTATGAAAACAAAAGAATGGGGGAGACGATGATCTAGTAAAACAAAGTGTTAAGGGGTGGTCGCTTTGGTGAGCGAGAAGTATCAGTTCAAATCACAGAAGTTGATCCGTTTTAGTCGGAAGATGGCATATGGCAAAAATGAAAAGGAGAGAAGAGTCTTTGATGAGCGACTTATAGAAACGCTCGTGGAAAAGCAACTCTCCCTCAAAATAGACAGGTTGGAAGGACCAAACAAATGATACCATCAACTAATATCGGTACAAATGTGAGTGAAAATCATACAGTAAGATATCAAAAGCACAAGAATTGCCAGCTGACAGTTTAATGTTATGGCATTATCAACCATGCGTTCCAAAAGCAAACGATAAGGGCCATTGCAATGTAGAATGAAAATCAAGACCGCTTGAACCAGATCTAGTCTAGCTCAGAACATATAGATATTGAGCGTAAAGAAAAAAATGCATTTGAAATACGGGGTATCGGTTGAGAGGAAGGTGTTGTGGCGCGCATGCAACCAACAACATCGAGGACCAGAGAATGGCACCCGCGACGAACAATAGATAACGTTCGGCTTCCGAGCATATTCTCGACTGTCCAGATAGAGTGCGATGACATCTTCTCGGAAAGTGATTCGAGAAGAAAAAGTGGTGAAGATTACAATTGACAGAATAAGAACAACGGCGCCAGCGCGCCCGTTTTCTACAGTTTCCCAGCTAATTTTGTGTGGACAAGAATGAACAGGTGTAATCGCAGCACTAATAGACGCGGCATTCCAACGACATGTAATTGGAAAACGGTAGAAAACTAGCGATGGCGTCACTCGAAATAATGTGGGAACCGTGGAACGAAACTGTGCAGGGTTCTAAGCAAGTTATGGTATGGAAGTAGAGCACCAAGTAGGCTCTAATACTGCAGACAGGGCATTTTCTCATCAGATGACAATTAGACAGTACCTGAACATGATGTAGCCAGCGGCAGTTAGTGGCACACGATAATTTGCAAGACTACGTTGATATGCCCTTATTAGCACGTCTGGATATATGTGACAATGATCGCTCATCGAAGCGATCTTAGCGAAGTCAACTATTATCTACATCAAAATTTTCCTTTCTGAGGGCGAACAAGGAGCGGGAAAGCAATATAATTTTTTAGGCATAGCGACCTCGTCAAGAATCAAACCCGTAGTGTGTACATCTTTAGGGCCTCGGGTTTGGAATCTCTTCATCAGTAATTCCCAATGATTGTCCGAATGTAATTACTTAGAAGACGTGATATTTGGCGGAACCGATCATCAATCTCTATACTGCAGATAATACCAAGTAATATCAGAGATTGTTACCTTCAATTTTTTTCTGCTTTGCCACATAGCAAACGTTGCCAAACACGAGGAATTTTCCAGATAGATTTTGTCTTTGTTCGAAGTTTAAAAAGGAAATAATCGCATGTGGATCGACAGCTTAAATTGAAGAGTCTCGTTACCAACTTTTTATTCAGTTCAGCCCATCCTATTCAGTTGCGATATGATTGGTACCAAATATAGTCGAAGAATTTCTACCACTTATTCAGACGCGGCTTTACATAATCACAGCTTAACCGTCCTCAGATAAATTCTGGAAAAGATTTCTGATGATTATCTTTGAATATTCAGAAATTCATGCTATTAGATCCGATGTACAGTCCATGGCAATTTTTTTCTGATAAATAGACATGACAGACAAAAGAATAGTGATTCTATTCTAAAATTGGATTATACTGGTCTGTAGCAAAATCTTTGCCGTTTCCTAATCTTCTTCTTTGTGAGCTGTAGTGTATCTCAGGTTATCTCTACTTATATGAATCCTTTTCGTTACCTCAATCAAATGCAGAGTCTCTTCTTGTGAGCACCAGGTTTAGGGTCCGTGTACCGTAAATCTAATTTGCCAACCAAACCGTCAAGCCCGTGTTTGCCTGTGGAAAAGCTATCGTAATTGCCAATTAGTATGGTATGCCTGTAGGAGCGAAACCTCACTGGTTGAGCAGTAACGAATTGATTACGGTCTTGCACCTGGCACTTTCCCGTTTAGCTAGAAAACTCCTGTCTTATTTTAGTAACGAAAAATATGTTGTGTTAGGAGCTAGATTTCCTACTTAGAGCACCTTATGATAGTTTGCCGTATGCAACCAATCATCTTAATTACCGCGCATCAATAGGATAATTCACCTGTAGACAAAGCGCCATTGATTTACTCACACAGAGTGCAGTAGCAAAGCACTAAAATTACTCATAAAATACTTGATTGTTATCGTACGATTACTGTAGTCTAGACAAATTCTGATGGTGTAATTGAACAAGTGTGAATTTTCTTCATTGTTACTGTAGTAAAGTTCGCGCAGAAGCAATAGAAACAGTACGAGCAGGAAATTTGACACCTGCAAAAGTTTGAACACGAAGGCAGAATGTGTCGATGGGATTAAGTGACGTTTGATGTCGGCCGCCAAATCACTTTGGGCGGTCTGGGAAAGTAAGCGAACCGTATTAACACAAATAGGTCTGGACACGTCTCAAGTGACTCGTGCAAAAAGTGCACAGCACTGGTACGTCTAGATGACAGCTACTAAGTCATCCGTCTTGAAAAGCTAGAGGAGTCCCCAGGTTTGGAACGCGTATGCTTGAATTCTGTTATAGAGGACTTCCTCTCGATATAAACGTCGCTCTCGGATTAGCACCCTGTTACCTGAAAGACCAAGCGCATCTCCTCCGGAAACATTCGCCTCTTCTCAACCTACTTTTAGGCTTTCCGCTTCCGGCAACGATTACAAAGATTGGCTTAGTTACTTCAGAACAATACCGCCTATTCAGAGATTAGCGTTCTTTTTTGTTACGAGATCAAGATGTAAAGCCAGATATGTGCTTTGCCTCAAGAACTGCGCATTCCTATAGTATCAATTAGATTAGAGGCGGATTTGAGGGCTGATATGATCCTGCTGAGGTGACTGTAATGAAAAGAGATCAGGAATGCGCTATTGAGTTATGCATGTTCAAGCTATTCTTGAGGACTGCATAGCCAAAACTGCCAGGTCCATCGCTACTTTTACATGCATTAAAATCAACCGCTTTCACCATAAGAAAGCCAAAGCAAATCTGCTGCTGTCCGTTCTCAATAGCGAGATACTAACAGCGAATTGGCTAGCAGCCTTTTTTCATTCAATATATCAAGATATGAGGTCCGAGAAGTTTCCATCATTTTTTGTTGGGCACCGTTACCGTAAATCGCAAATTTCGTATTATCCAATCGTGGCGAAGTTGTATACGGCTGTATTCGGTTGGATTCGCGTTTATTTTGCGAAAAGGCTAATTCAGTCTGGTTTGATGTAATTTGATGAGATGTGGCCTCATCGGAGCTAGAATTCTTATTTTTCTGTTCTCAAAATAGTCCAGTGAATCTATGCCGAGTGCTGTACATGGGCGAAGTTGTAGGGCATTGACACAGTTATTACGATTTCTCAAGTTTGGGCAGTTTCTTGCAAATTGTGAAATGTGTTAGATAATGGTTTGAGTACAAGATTTTTTTTGACCTAACGTCGAAGCTCGATAACTACCAGATCCACTTCTGTCGCAGGTGCTGTTAAGGTGGATGCGGATCAGCGTAAAAGTCTGGCGCTTTAATCGAGCATTTGGTGATATCCAGGCAGATTTGAGTGTTTGGGGCTTTGAGCAAACTGATTGAAAGCCTGGTCTACTTTTCCCAAACGGCAACTCAATGATTCAACCATGGTCAGAAACTTCGATTCTAGAATCTGAGACTGACCGTATCCTCGTGGTCTCTATTTCGAAAAAGCATATCATCTGGAATGGACTTTAGATTTGAACTTACCGGTCACAAGTGTCGTCTGAGATGCCGCTCGAGCAATGGTTAGAGACTAAGATCTTTTTAGTATCCATATAAGAAGAACATGTACCACATGTTTTTGCAAACATATATATATTTCGGAAGACCTTGAAGATTCAGAATTTTTAAGAACAGTAGAATTGTAGCTGTATAAGCAGCTGCTCACGCTTTTATGCTCTGTAAGTTCAATTTCGTGGAAGAGATAATCAGTCTGTGGAATGTGTCAAACATCCTATTGATACCTGCATCAGGGCCCGGCGTAGATCGTATGGAAGCAGGCTGAATTTCGCTTTTGGGGCGAAAAACAAAGGGTTTCGTTTTTGTGGCCAAAAATTGCGACGTTTTTTTAGTCGACTTTTTTTTGAGGGGTTTTTTTCACCTTTAGGGCTGAAAGTCAAGGGGACTTCGTAAAATTTCGCGAAAGTCAAGGGAGACTTTGTATTCAAGAAGCCCAGAAGCGGACTCATGCCGGGCCATCTCATATATGGTGCAAAACTCGAATAAAACTTTTTAATCAAACGGTGCTGTGAGAAAGAACAAAAGGAAGCAACACCTAAGTTCTATCTCACAGCGTATTGTTTTCATTGCGCATTGTGTGGAGCGCAACAATTACGATGAATGGTTAATGAGCGTAACGCAAGTTGCGGCCTCTTTGCTGAATCCTGACGCAATGCATTGGCCGACAACCGTTTAGGTTTGGGAAACATCACACTTCGCGACTAGTCGAGCTACTGCTTCGTGGGTAATGAGCCATGTTGCGCTAATCTGGGAGAAAAGGAGTAGTACGATAAATTTTCTTCACTATCATGATCCGAGTACTGTAGGTTATGGTTGCGCAAATACTACTGAGGCTTTATAAGACCGAAAAGCAATGGAAAGAAAAATCTTTACACTGTAAGCCGCACTCAAAGTGTCAAAGTATCGTAGTCCTCTAATCAGAGGATTACCCTATTTCCTCCAAATGAATTATGCAAACATTCACTGTTGACTTACCCCTAATTATCCGTCTTTCATGAGCATAGAGTACACTGCTTTGCTGCGATGTGGATCTTATATTCAAGTGTAGAAGTAAAATTGTATAAATAATATTTATTTACAAAAGTGGATTCTGTTTCAGGAAATCGGGATCAGCGGCTACAATCTTCGTGACGAGAAAAGAGTGAAGGTTGTATGTTACGGCCAAGACTTCATCACACTCGATGTCCTGAATACACGGAGAGGTAAGAGTAGATAGATTTTGAGATTAAAAGTTTTTTGATACGGAAATTTGTTAACAATATATTCGATCATATCTCGTTTCTATGACTCATAATACAGTTCTCCTTTCATGATTAGGGAAATTTTCTTCACTTACACAGAAAACACACACAAACCTTCGTCTCTAGTTTAGCAGGATCTAGTGATCTTTCATCCCGGAAGACCAGTTGTACATGAACTTTACCATCATCTGATGATGAATGAAGATCCCGAAATCGGTATTGCCACACGTAGCTCTATAAACAAAATAATGCCCATTTTTGTTTGGATGGACCGAGGTAGTGCAAAAAGTAGAAAATTTGATGAATGGTCATCGCAACATATCGTTAATAGGATACAGTGATGAAACATGCTGCATATCAATCTGAACTTCGTTTCTAAAAACTAAACTAGCACTTGTTCTCGAGATAAATAAAATCTATTTAGCTGAGGAACAAAAAATTACTCCTGAAGCAGGACAGAATTCAATTAACCACTCTTTTTACTGCTGCACTTTTGTGAATCTTCGTGGCAAGAAGAAGTACAAATGCTTCTTTGTAAGAAATGATCAGTACTTTTTGGTGTAAGGTATTTGGTATAATTTTTCTAGAATTTCTAAATGCCCTTTGTCTTCTGCGGTTCATGACTGAAGCAGTGGTAGATTGCAACAATGTTTCATAAATTGATGCCTGTATGGAAGTACTGAGAACATCGCCAATGAAGATTTTTGTGGAAAGTTTCTCCTAAATTTACCGCGAGCGCCGGTGCCAATTTGAATGCATGGAATGGTAGTCACACCACTGCACCGATCAAAATTAGTACGGACTACTTACTTTTGTTGGAATATCGTACAGACTAATTCCTTGCTTGATGTCCAGAACTAAGCCACTTGGGCGGCCCTCATAACTGCAAGCGAACGTGCGCGTCTGCAATTTTGATTTGAGGACTACCTTATTCTTACAAGAGAGGGGTACTTAGTCGAAGTGGCTTTTCCATATGATATGTAAACCATTTTATTGTGAGAGAGCTTAGGACGCTGATTCCAAATGTGCTCCGGTATCTGCAAAGCTATTCTGGGGGGGGGGGGGGGAATTTATGAGATTTTTTGGAACAAAAAATTTGAACGGCGGTTAATACAAAATCACTCAGAAATGAATTTTGTGAGCTCAAACAGGGCCATTATTGTCAGAGCTGTATGTAGTCAACACTCTAATGAATTTCAACTAGTCCTTTAAAGCGCTTAAAACCTCAACCTGTTTTTAGCTTAGTCAAACCCCTGTACTTTGGCCGAGAAATCCTATAACTTTTTCCGGAAGCGCTTTGCAGATATATAAAACAGACTGCACTTTATGGAAATCCACAACCCGAGTATCCTTCCCTTGTCAGAATGGGGTTCCACTTACCTGCATAGCTATGACAGTAGCGTAAACACTCTTATGATAGGCAGTTTCGAACGCTTCTAACATTTGAGGAGTTTCAAATGAAAGATAGTGTCTCGTTCCATCAGCCATACATGCTTCCAAGTAGAAGCAGTTTTCTCGTTTATCTAGACGGCGAGAATCGTTAGGGACCTAGGAAAGCCATTCTCTTTCTATGGAACTATGAAAGAATACGACGTACCTGTTTGATGGCAACATCATAACTTTTGTACAGATAAAGGCATTTGTTCAAGTCTTCAGAGCTTAGCTGAAAGTATGTTAGAGATATGACTTGAACATGTGGTCGAATTGTCACTCATACCGGTGGGCTTTCGAACAAGCACACATCTCCACCCTTCAATATCAAAAATCGAGGCTCCCATTTTTGTTTTGGATCTTCTGACAGCCCTTCACTCATATACTCGTTAACCCAGCCAATGTAGGAAATCTGCAAATAAGTGGAGTTCCAAAAATTGGGAAATATTGTGTGTTTGCGTAGCATTTGTCTTTAGATTACTTCTGATGTGATCCTCTTCATAAAATTTGGGAATTGTGGAAAAAGTGGAAGCTACTCACAGAATCTTGAAGGGGGGTATCAAATGAATTTTTCTATATGGTGAGCAATTTAGCGGGAACTCAAGTGTTGTTTCAGTGCATGGGGAGATCTCGTTCAAATGATCTACATCTTTCAATGTACAAAAAAACACATAAGAAACCACCATTTACCTGCTCGCTCTGATGCAAATACTTGTTGCTCATCTTGATGCTCTTGTGATTAAGCGATTGTATATGATTGTTTATGTGTCCAATCCATTGTTCAAGTGCTCGTGCATCTTCGCAGTGAATTATACCCGTGGACGAGCCATCAACAGCACGTACTTCAAACGAGTTAGTTCTAGAAACCAGCTTTTCAAGACAAGATTTCAAAACTGTTTGTGCTTTTTAACCTACCTAAGATTGTCGGTTCCCCATAGGTATCGCGTCAGATATGCCATTGGAAGTGGTATGACTGTGACTGTCTTCCACTTTTCATCCTTTCCTTCTGTCCCGGCAGATTTTTCCTTACCATCGTAGAGACCCAAATCTGATTGAGCTTTCATCGCGGACTGTAAGCACACAGTGAGGAAACATTTCATAAAAATCCTGCAATCTCACCTTCCATGTGTTCGGCTCATAGATTTTATCCAATGCACCTCCGGATCTTCCCGGCTGCAAAGATTGAGCAGGTCTAAAATAGTGATAGAACTCTGGACTAAATATTTGACATGCACTCACTCACTTGAGATAGGAAGCGATATTTGAGTAGTGTCTAACTCCAAGCCGTAGTTCTTCACCCTCTGACTTCAACATTTCTACCACTTCATCGTGTGAGCGCCCTTCTACTGGCTCTCCGTTAACTTCTACTATTGCGTCACCAACATATAGTTGTCCAGTCTGGTCAGCTGTAAATAAAGCTTCATTTCCCATAGAATGAGAAAATGCGATAAGAGAGCCTAAAATTTTTTCATCAAAAACCCTCTACTTTTACAGGAATTCTGGATTACGTAAAAAGATGATCTTACTAATTATGTATCTATCGTCGATTCGTTGACCGCACGGACTGCTCAAACGCTGCGGACCAAACGCGGCGCGGCTGAATTGTCGCGAGAGCACGACTTGTACAATAGCGAATTTGTACTGGGGCAAGCGTTTTACTTCGATGCGCGTGCTCCGCAGTGTGTCCAGTTCGTAGGGTCAACGAATCAACCATACCATTCAGCTCACCTGGCATTCCGGGGAAGATTTTCGATATCACTATGGGCAGGTTTTGAGAGTTTTCGGTACCACCCTAAAAAGCGCTGTTAAACGTGAATAATCTTCTCGTCTTTAATAATCTAAAAACTGTATTATGAGAGATCGCGGAGCGGATTTGTTTGATAGGTAGCAACCAATGATGATCCAGAATTTTCTTCGGGTGGGGAAAGGGCAGTGGGAGCGTCCGACAGCAAAAAAAATTGAAAACAAGGTCTTAGCGTTCGTTAGTCACGACTCCCAAAATTTTTTAAAAAGCTAGTTTTGTGTGGAGTAAGTTTTGCGTGCTCAAAGTTTGCCCTTCCAATTTTGACACAGATTCTGAGAGAAAAAACTGTTTTTTGGTGCTTTCTCGAACGCAGTAATCGATACGAGAGTTTTCTCACCTTTATTGACAATCCCAATCCACCACCCTTGCGCTTTATCACTATTGTTCGTGTCTGATCTTCTGGTGCTTCAGCTTCCACATCGTTCCCCGTTCCATCGCTTGGTATTTCTATCGAAAGCTGATCTAAATTTTTTGAGAAAATCATTGTGATTTTTTGGTGGCTGGAGCAATAGTTAGACATCCGATGTCTATTCGTTATTTGGGACCAAATGTGAAAGCAGAAATAAGACGAAACCTTTTGAGAGTAAGAGCCGTGAAGGTCTGCCTCGTCCCTTCCCATCGCTTATGAGCACTAGTCCGTGATGAACCTGTTCGTTTATAGATAGAGGTGTACATAGAGGTGCGAAATTTCTCAGGAATTCCCAATCTACAAAGGCTTGAAATCAATTCGAGAACTCACCACATCAAGATTTCGCTGTCGGTTCTTCATTAGAGAATCGAAGTACTAAGACGTGACGAATGCAAGCGGATTGAGGCCGGGAGGACATTACACTGACAGAGAGCAGCCGGCTGCAGTAGTGTGAGACAAGCAGCGGCAGTGTTTCAATGTTGGATGAAGCTGAAGAAGAAAAAGCTTTTCGAAAAAGCATAACTAACGATTTCCTTTGACGATAGCTTTGCGCGGAAAGTCATAGGGGCGAACAAATGCTTTGGAAGTCAAGACGATCCTTTTTCTTTGCCTTTTGAAAAATGAATTAGAAGCAAGTGCCTTGTCGTTCTTTGAAGCCGCCAAACACTCAGTAGCGTTGTCATAAAGCTGCTCTTACAAGGGAAGGATACCAACATTAGTTGGCATTTAAAGATGCGATGTATATCATTAGATGCGCCTTTAAACGCTGATTTCAAATCTGCTTTCCTTTTTTGCGGAATATGTTTCCGAAAGAAGGTATGAGCGTTTGAATGTCCAGATTCGCCAAGCATTCAGTGGCTTAAAATCAGCGAAAAGCTCTAAGACAACACCTATGCGATTTCCACCACCTTTGTTCCTTCCTCGCAAACGTTATACTCGATACAAAAAAAATAATTTTCTACTTTCCGGTGTTTTTGTACAGCTTTTCGCCAATTTTGAGCCACCTAAACCTTGACAATTTTGGTTATTTGAACGCCCATAATTTCTTTCGAAAACTTATTCCGCAAAAAAGGAAAGCAGATTTGGAATCAGCGTTCAAAGGCGCGTCTACTGATATACATCTCATCTTCAATCGCTGACTAATGTTGGTATCCTTTCCTTGTTAGCTATCTACTGCTTGAATGCTTATCAAACTAGTGTGAAAGAGAATGAAATATATCGACAAGTTCCAGACTTCCTTTCGCATGATATTCGATATCACGCAACTCTTACATGTCCAACAACCGGCATGTAGTGATCCATTGTAAAACAAAACTGCGACTTGCACAGGTTGTCACTGGTATTCTGCTAGAAAACATATGAATTTGTGACACCATATTCACTGGCTTTGACCATGCGATTTTACATTGCTTAGTCTCGTAGGCCACGCAAAGAGTTAGGGAGCAAACTGGAAAGCACTTCCATTCGGAATCTATGATACAGTCCTTGATGACTAGTTAAGGTGATGACTATGCAGATTTACATTTAGCATTTGTTTTCAGTACGTATAACGTTTGATTTGAGTACATATAACATGTATGCGCACAAGTTCCCATTAACAAGGTGAAGGATACGTGACATAAGCTGGTGATTGAATAGATATGTATATGAATAGACGCGTCTCTAAACGCTAATTCCAAATCTGCTTTCCGTCTTTGAGGGACGACTCTCTGAAAGAAATTACAGTCGAGTAGGTTGCCCGCTTAATATATATAGTGTGCTTGCACAGAAGGTGAAATGTGGTAAAACTTGCACGTAAACAAATATTATAGTTTCGACTGTGACGCCGGCCAATTGTGAGCGCAAAATGCCGCAAGTACTGGCGTGGCTACTTCATCACGCGCAAATTTTACCACATTTCACCTTCTGTGCAAGCACGCTATATTAAGCGGGTAATCCACTCGACTGAAGCGTTTGAATGTCCAAACTCGTCAAGCATAAATTGGCTTAAAGTGAGGGATTCTCCGAAAAATCACTCACAGATTTCCACCGGTTTTGTTCCTTGTTTGCAGACGATATACTTGATACAGAATTGATTAGATCACTTTTAGATGTTTTGTACAGCTTTTCGCTAATTTTAGGCCACTTCAAGAACAAATGGAAAATTCGTACGCTCGTAACCTCTTCAGGAAATTTGGGCGCTATTCGGCTATCCGGGCCCCAGAATTTTTTTTGTCATGGATTTCGCTCAAAGTTGGTCCAGGGGGGGGGGGTTATCTGACATGCTGATCACGAATATCACCTTTTCTCCGCAGGAAAACGCCTCCCTGCAGGGTTACGGTACGGGCACGGTAGGGGGTCAAAATCACGGATTTGCCCGAAACTTGGCTCAGAGGGGTTATTCGGCCCGCTCATACTGAATATTGTATTGGTTTTGTACCGTAGCGTCATTTTCTCGGGTTACGGTGGGTACACGGTAGGGGGTCAAAATCTCAAAATCCGCTGTAACTTCGCACAGAGGGGTTATTCGACATGCTGATTAGAAATGTCAAACTTTCGCCGCAAGAAAACGTCTCCCTGCATGGTTACGATAGGTTTCCGGCAGGGGTTAAGATCACAACTGCAAATGTATCCTTCTCCTGTGCTTTGCTTAGGCAAAAACCGCAGCAGGGTCTGTAGCGCGCGGCGGTGGTCGTGTGTGCAAAGCTTCATTATCGTCCGAATCGTCGTACACCCGTTTCAGGCAGTACTATGTTTTACACCCGTTACCTTGTAGCTACCGTAACCGCAGAAAGTGACGCTACGGTTCAAAAGCAATGTGATATTTGGCATCAGCGGCCGAGCAACCCCTCTGGGTCAAGTTCCGGGCAAATCCGTGATTTTGAGTCCTTACCGTAGTCGTACCGTAACTTTACCGCATGGCGCTGTCGCACGAAATAAACATCATATTCGTGTTCAGCATACCAAATAACTCCTATAAACGAAGTTTCGGGCAAATCCGTGATTTTGACCCCTTACCGTTCACCTACCGTAACCCTGCAGGGAGGCGTTTTTCTGCGGAGAAAAGGTGATATTCGTGATCAGCATGTCAGATAACCCCTCTGGGCCAAGTGTGAGCGAAATCCATGACAAAGAAATTTTGGGGCCCGGATAGCCGAATAGCGCCGAAACTTGTTCCGCAAAAAGAAGCGGACTTGGAATCAGCGTTTATAGACACGTCTGGTGATATACTTCTCGTCTTCAGTAGTCAATTTATTTTGGTTTTATTTCCTTACTAGCTGGCTTGCCCGGCTCCGCCGTATCCGGACCAAACTTGGCACACATACACTTCGGGCCCCGGCGCGTGTCACAGTCCACTTTTCGTTATCGATCGATGTCGATTTTACCGATTTTTATCGATTTTTTCGCAGAGTTCACCTACAGGGCTAGGAGTTGGCACAGGGGGGAAGTGAGCATGGGGATTCCGAATACAATATTAGTTTTCAGAATTATCGGTTACTTTTATTGATTTTATCGATTTTTTGTAAATTTTGACATGCGATGCTGGGATTTTGCACAGGGGGGTAATCGAGCATGCCGATTACGAACACAATATTAGTTTTCAGGATCGTCCATTACCTTTATCGATTTTATCGATTTTTTCGTAAAGTTTGACCTGCGGGGCTGGGAGTTTGCACAGGGGGGAAATCGAGCATGCAGATTACGAATACAATATTAGTTTTTGGAATTATCCATTACTTCTATCGATTTTATCGATTTTGCAAAATTTGAGCTAGGGGCTGGAATTTGGCACAGGGGTGTAATCGAGCATGCTGATCACCCCCTTGGGGATGATCAGCATGCTCGATTACCCCCCTGTGCCAACTCCCAGCCCCCTAGCTCAAACTTTGCAAAAAATCGATAAAATCGATAAAAGTAATCGATAATCCCGAAAACCAATATTGTATTCGGAATCCCCATGCTCGATTACCCCCCTGTGCGAACTCCCAGCCACGTAGCTCAAACTTTGCAAAAAAATCGATAAAATCGATAAAAGTAATCGATAATCCTGAAAACCAATATTGTATTCGGAATCCCCATGCTCGATTACCCCCCTGTGCCAACTCCCAGCCCCGTAGCTCAAACTTTGCAAAAAAATCGATAAAATCGATAAAAGTAATCGATAATCCTGAAAACCAATATTGTATTCGGAATCCCCATTCTCGATTACCCCCCTGTGCCAACTCCCAGCCCCGTAGGTGCACTCAGCAAAAAAATCGATAAAAATCGATAAAATCGATATCGATCGATGACGAAAAGTAGCCTATGACACCCGCCGGGGCCCAAAGTGTATGTGTGCCAAGTTTGGTCCGGATCGGTTCAGAAATGGAATTTTCTATTCGGAACATACGTACATACATACATACATACATAAAGACAGACATACAAACAGACATTCAGCTTTATATATAAGATTAAGGACGACTACCCATTAGCAGAGTTTCGTGTTTGGACTTGTAGAGTCAACTATGGCGCTTTTCGGCCTCCTTTAAAGGCAGCGTCCAGGCAAATCTGGACACATGGGGGTCTCACGTGGATACTAATTTTGGGGCCTCAACTAAGCCACTGCCTAACCGGCAGCTCAGGTAGTGCTCTAACGGCTGAAATATTTCCCTCGAAACTGGACCCCGCAATCGTATTTCGCATGGATTTATGGCGCAAAGCGTGTGTTCTGGCGCAAAACTGCCATGAATCCATGCGAGTACGATCGCGGGGTCCGGTTTCGAGGGGAATATCTCAGCCGTTAGAGCATCTGCGCTGCCGCTTGAGCAGTGCCTTAGTTAGGGCCTCAAAAGTACTTTCCACGTAAAATCCCCATAGGTCCAGATCTGCCTGGACCCTGCCTTTAATGTTTATGCCGAAATCTCCGCGTTAAAGGCAGTGTCCGGGCAAAAACTCGATTTTGAGATTTTGTGCTTACTTGGGCCTATTCGCTACGCTGAATCCGAAAATGCACATTGTAGAGCGCGAAAATGGCGAAAAACGGCTCTAACACAGGAGAGAAATTAACAGGTGGGCGGGGCTTTCCCCACTGCGAATTCACGTTCCCGGCTTTCAGAGCGACCTTCTCGCTTCCGGTTTCAAGTCACTCATTCGCACTTGGCCGGTAGCGATGTTAGAACAGCTAGCGGAATCGAGAAAATCGCTCCGGAACCTCGGAGCGTGAAATCGCACTGGGGAAAGCCCCGCCCACCTGCTGATTTCCCTCCTGTATTAGAACCCTTTTTCGCCGTTTTCGCGCTTTCCAATGTGAATTTTCGGATTCAGCATGGCGAATAGGCCCGTATAAGCACAAAATCTCAAAATCGAGTTTTTGCCCGGACACTGCCTTTAAAGACGATTATGCAAATGGTAATCTATTACGAGGTTAACTGATTGGGAAAAATAAGTGCAGAGCTGGCCAAGAAGTTATTGTTCATCAGGCGAGGAAGGTCACGAGTTCGGTTCTGCGGCGGTCCGAACTGCTTCAGC